TCTAAGGTTGTTAACAGAGAACAACTTAAGGTTTATGTACAAAGGTTGCAATTGGGTTGAACCACAGGTACTACAGGTTACACGGAAAGGGGAGGATGTTAGGATATTTCCGTTCCACCTTAAAAGGGAGCAGGCTTTGTGAGTCAGAGTCTGCGTATTTCCTGTTCACAGGATGTTTATGTTTTCTGTTGCTTTCGTTTTCTCTGGTGTCGCAGACACTAAAGCAGTCAGTCAAGTTTTTCTGTGTTCTGATCAACGCTGAATAAACTTGTAAATAATGCTCTCCTGAGTGCAACTTTTGGCTGTGCTAATTGCTGATAGAGCGTGCATGAGTCTGGAATGTGGCAAGATATTTTCTAGAAACTCATGTCGCTGCGTGCCTACGGGAGGCTGATGGATCGTCCGGCAGACGGCTTGGGGGCCATGATGGACTTTATCTCCCTGGCAGTATCCCAACAAAGGCCACAGAGTAAGCAGTCTTGCAGGGCTTAGCTGTGTTCCCTTCACATTGCAGGGAACTAGGTAATCAAGCCTATTGTTGTATCCCTAGCCTGCCAGAGAAGCTCAGCATGTGAGGAGCTCTGAGCTACTCCTTCCAGCCACATGGCTCTCACCAGCCTCTTTTGTGTCCCTGTACCAATAGTTCTAGGAATGTTTGCCATTTCGTAACTAAGCCCGTGCAGCTTTTCTGACTGATGTATGGAAAAGCACACGAATCTGACCTTTGGAGAGTTTGTAAGTAAACCAAATGTGCCGTCTTTTCCTATGCTGTGGGAAGAGGGAAACTTTGGAACTTTTAAAAGGGACAATTTTGGAACTCACTTGAAAGGGCACATCTTTAAGGTTTTACAGCCAAGATTTTCATGTTTCATTTTGCTGGTTTTAAATCTCTGCTGGGGTTCTGTCACCAAAGAGTACTTGCCCCAGACTTGGATCTTGGCATCTGCAGAAATTCTTCTTTCATGGATCTTTCTCCTTGAACCAACACAAATACCTATATGAGCAGCTTGAATTAGTCCCAGAAACAAACTGGCAACCAACACAGCTCCTTTTAAAAAGGGATATATCATATTGTTCAGCCATCCTGACTTAAGTGGGACACCCCAGAATTACAGGAGTCATTCCTGGCTTCCCATTGGATCTTGGAACGTCCTGTTCTTTTGGTCTGGTGCTCTGGCGCAAGTCAGTTGGCTCCTGCGAAAGCTCAGGACCCAAAAAACGAGCGTTCCGATTTGGACCACCCAGATGTTGGAGGGTATGGTTATATGCGATCTAAATGGAACCCCATCTGGTAATTTGGCTGATGCATTTTGGAGCAAATAAAGTTTCCAGGTCGTCTTCAAGGGCAGCTCCATGTAGACCATATTGTGGTAATCCAGTCTGGAAGCTACCAGAGCATAGAATTCAGCCGCCAAGTCATGCCTGCAGTGGGATTCAGTAGGGCTCAGCTTATGTGCTTAGTAAAAGGTAAAGGGACCCCTGACCATTACAGTGGTGCCTCGCAAGACGAAATTAATTCGTTCCGCGAGTTTTGTCGTCTTGCGATCTTTTTCGTCTTGCGAAGCACGGTGTCGGGAAAGTTTTGGAAAAGCTTCAAAAATCACCAAAGTCTTTAAAAACCTCAAAAAGGCTACCACACCGTGTTCTATGAGTTGCTCCTCGAAGTCAAGTCGCAACTGTATTAACGGTGTTAAGAAAAAGGAAACAAACCTGCAAGACATTTCCGTCTTGCGAAGCAAGCCCATAGGGAAAATCGTCTTGCGAAGCAGCTCACAAAACAAAAAACCCTTTCGTCTAGCGAGTTTTTTGTCTTGCGAGGCATTCGTCTTGCGAGGTACCACTGTAAGTCCAGTCATGACCGACTCTGGGGTTGTGGTGCTCATCTCGCTTTATTGGCCAAGGGAAACGGCGTTCACCTTCCCACCAGAGCGGTACCTATTTATCTACTTGCACCTTGACGTGCTTTCGAACTGCTAGGTGGGCAGGAGCAGGGACCGAGCAACGGGAGCTCACCCCGTTGCAGGGATTCAAACCGCCGACCTTCTGATCGGCAAGTTCTAGGCTCTGTGGTTTAACCCACAGCACCACCCGCGTCCCACATGTGCTTAGTAGTATGGGGTAAATCACTATTTTCAACAGAATGCAAGGTCCAAACCATCTCAGAACAGAGGGCACAGCTTAGGAACCCCCCACCTGTGTTTCAGAAATATCTTCCCCACTGAAAGGCATATTCAGAGGATCTCTCCTTGCTCTGTGTCACACGCCCTGATGTCAGCCTCTCCCATAAAAACCTCCCTGTTCCCTCCTTGCCCACCCGCTCATCCCAAGACCCTCCTCTCCCTCTTGACCCCATCCAGCACTTCCGCTCAGTGACATGATGTCTGGAGAGGCAACCTGAGATACAATGGATGCCCAGAGCGCAGGGGCAGGGGCGACTGGCAAAAAAAAAATAGAATAAGATATAAGAAAGGGGGTTGGTGACTTCTGAGGAGGCTCTCGGGACGGGGCCTCACAAGCTCCTCTGCATCTGTGAATGGGGACTCTGTGCCTCTCCAAAGAAGCTGAAAAGCCATACAGAGGGTTGCCCTAGGCAGCTGTGCAGAGCAGCTGGGGTGGGGGCTGAGCAGAGTGGGTGGGAGATGAGGGAGGGGTGGGCAGCAGAGACCCTCATCTCAACTCTGGGTGTTGGTGGCTCAAGATTTGGCTTGCAAGCCAGGCACCAGCTCTGGAGACTGTGGGGTTCCTGCACATGCACAGAGTGGGAATGTATCCCATGCACTAATAATTAGAATAATAAGCAGTGTGGAATAGTGGAGAGAGCGCTGGACTATGGCGTGGTAGACCAGGGTTCGATTCCCTACTCGGCCACGAAGCTCGCTGAGTTGGGCCAGTTGCTGATGCTTTCAGCCTGCCCTGCCCTCTAGGATTATTGTAGGGACAAAACAAGGAGCGGAGAATAATGTAAAGCATCTTGAAATTGAATTGAAATTGAAATACTTTATTGTCACTGTTACAACTTGTATACAGTGAGATTACATTATCTTGAGTTCCTTGGAAGAAAAGGTGGTATGTAAATGCAATCAACAAACAAACAATTATGCTTGAGGGTCTTATTCTGGCCACACTTTCTAGGTAACAAACTTAACCTGCACCTTCTGAAGTAATAAGTACTGAAATATACATGAACACACATGCATGCACGCACACACACACTTATGGCTAGCATGTGTTCAAATGATTTAATGTGCACAAAACGTGTGTTTTGTAAAAACAAAACACGTGTGTGAACCTAATGCAAATTTTCATGCAGCTTTTTATTGAAAAGAATGCTGACAGATGCAGAAAAAGATGGAACATATCTATGAATGAAGACGTGGGAAACTGAAATGAACCAAATATAGATTGATCCATCCATCTCTGCTACTAATGACAAATGCATCCCTTTGTGGCCAAAACAACACTGTGTGTGTGTGTGAGAGAGAGAGAGAGAGAGAGAGAGAGAGAGAGAATCGGCCATTTAGGGGAACCCATGGCTTCCAAAAGTAGGGGGGGGGATCTATATGGATGTGTGTGTACGTGTAAGATAGATGATAGGTACACACACACACACACACACACACACACGGGATTAACCTCAGAATAACTAAATGAAAACTGAAGCATACCATCCAACATTTCTCTGATGAAATAGGGACGTCCCATTCCATAATGATAATTTTACTATTTCTACCCCACACATCTGACTGAGTTGCCCCCAGCCACTCTGGGCAGCTTCCAACATATATAAAAACATAATAAAACATTAAACAAAAAACCCTTCCCTATACAAGATTGCCTTCAGACAGCTCGATGGTCAGATAACTCCATACCCTCCAACGTTTCTCCAGTGAAAACTGGGATATTCTAAGGAAAAGCGGGACATTCCGGGATCAGATCAGAAACCGGGACGGCTTCTCTAAATCAGGGACGTCCCTGGGAAATAGAGGCACTTGGAGGGTCTGCTGAAGTTAGGAATGAACATAAGAAGGACTTGCTGGATGAGGCCAATGGCCCGTCTGGTCCAGCATCCTGTTCTCACAGAGGCCAGCCAGATGCGTGTCGGAAACCTGCAAACAGGATCCCAGAGCAAGAGCCTCTCCCCGACTCCAGAAGTTTCCAGCAATTGGGACTTGCTGCCTCTGACTGCGGAGTCCTGGCTAGGAGCCATCGACAGCCTCTCCTCCATGAATTCTACACAAGCCCAGTCTTAGAGGCGCAGAAACACCTCTGAGTGCGGCACGAAAGAGGCCTTGTCTTGGGAAATGTACATTTGGAAGCAGAAAATAAAATAATTGGGGTGTTGCGTACGGACCGGTGGAGATCTGCATCCTCCTTGATTCCCCATTTCCCACCCAGCTTATTTTGCTCCCCTGAGTTCTTCTGCATCCAAGAGCTGGGGAAGGGGATGCCGTCACCTCCTTAGAAAGGAAACGGGGGGGAAGGGCCCCCTTAAGCTTAGCTGCCCCATTGACAGGCCTCTGCGGCTGGCAGGCCCCTTTCAGAGCACAAGGAGAGAAAAGAAACCGCTGGGAGGATTTGGTGAGTGTGTGTGCGCGCGCGCAAAAGGACAGCTGGACAGAAACAAGGCTGGAAGGAGGGCGATGGTTTCGCTGGCCCGTTGACCTGGCGGCTTTGATCCCAGGTGCAAAGGGCCCGTGTGACATCATGGCTGGATCCTGCACCCCCCAAGCCTTCCTGGGCACCCTGCAGCTGGTTCCAGGCCTGTCTGGCCACGGAGCAGGGCCTCTGCCGCTGGGCACAAAGAGGACCGCTGTTCGCTGGCTCTGGCATTGCTGTGCGAGAGCCTCTCCAGCAACGCCAGCCAGGGAAAGAGAGAGAGAGAGACAGCTTTTTAAAGCTCAGACAGCCTCTCCCCCCCCCCCACGTCTTTTCTCCTCCTTTCCACTCCTCAATCCCTCCCCCTCGCAGCTAGAGAGAGCAGGCTCCTTTTTCTTTTGCAAGACGCGAAGGATGGGAGAAGTTTGGAGAGGAGCAACCAGTGGCGCTGGACTCTGGCAGGGTTGAGGCTGGAGGGTTTGCAAGCTGGCCTGAGGCCTCCCCGCCGTCTCCTTGGGGGGTGTGGGGCACAGCTGGGGTCCGTCGTGGTGCCCCCACCGCAGCCCAGCAGCCCAGATGGCTGGGAAGGAGCTTGACGCGAGACCCAGACGCAGCAGCAAGGAGTTGGCCAACAAGTGATCCAGGAGGTTTCTTTTGGAGGGGGCGGCGGCGGCGGCGCTGGGACTTGGTGCCCCCCTCGCTTCTCTGCCCCCTCCAGCGTCGCTTCCGAGGGAACCATGGTAATCCGAAGGGCTTCGTTTGTGGCTGTTTAGTTTCTCCCTGGCTCGGCCACACCGCGAGACCACCCTCTTTCGGCTCTCTGTCGACCTTGTGGGGCAGCTAAGATGGGGCAGCAGGGAGGGAGGAGGGGGCTTCTTCTCCAGGCTACGGGTTTGCTTCTTTAAATAAGGGGGTGTGGAGGAATTGGGATCAGTGTAGGATACAGATTGTCCTTGTGGCTGTTCGGTCGTGGAATGGGCTTCCTGGGAAGGTGGTAGTCTCTCCTTCATAAAAGGTAAAGGTGAAGGGACCCCTGCCCATTAGGTCCAGTCGTGCCCGACTCTGGGGTTGCGGCACTCATCTCGCTTTGCTGGCCGAGGGAGCCGGCGTACAGCTTCCGGGTCATGTGGCCAGCATGACTAAGCCGCTTCTGGCGAAGCAGAGCAGCGCACGGAAACGCCGTTTACCTTCCCGTCGGAGCGGTACCTATTTATCTATTTTCACTTGGATGTGCTTTTGAATTGCTAGGTTGGCAGGAGCTGGGACTGAACAACCGGAGCTCACCCCGTCACGGGGATTCGAACCGCCGACCTTCTGATCGGCAAGCCCTAGGTTCTGTGGTTTAACCCACAGCGCCACCCGCGTCCCTTTTCTCTCCTTCATAGGAGGTGTTTAAACTGGGGTCGGAGGGCCACCTGCCAGGGACTTTTTAGCTGTGATTCCTACATTCCAGGGGGTTGGGCTAGCTGACCCTTGGGACCCCTTCTGTGATTCTATGACTCGGCATTTGGAATGATCAAGAGGTCCGCTTTCTCTTGATGACCTTTGACTAGATGACCCTCTACACTTCTCCGATTCTATGATTCTCTTCTTGTTCTGAGAGCTTTCCAGAGCTTCAGGTGCCTGTCCTATGGAACGAGGCTGCTCTAAATAAGGTTCCTGCAACCACCTGCTCCTTCAAAAGACAGCCTGTCCAGAGCGATTGGAGGACCTTCTTAGTCAGACGGGCATTACATTGGTTTCCCAGCAGCTGTTGGGTGTAGACTTTGCAAAGCCTGTGGACCTTCCGTGGGAATTGACGGAGATGCGAAGCTGATGATGAGGGAGTTTTTAAGCAGTTGTGTTCCCGCCAGGGATGCCCCTGGTGGTTTGGGACAAGAGGTGAGGCCAGCAAGGTCGCCTCTGCTCTGCTTCAGCAAAGTGGCATCTGAGATGGGGCCACAGTCAGCAGGCCTTGGGATCCAACAAGATTCCTTGTGGTTGCTGGGCTGAGTCAAAGCATCATTCCTGAAACCGTTGGACATCTTTGGGCTTGGGGAGGGGATCAGTGGCAGGAGGCCCCAGGATCGCTCCTCACCAGCATCTCTGGAAAGGGTTGGGAGATTTCACTGCCCGAAACCCCGGAGAGCTGCTGCCAGTCCGTGTAGACAATACTGAACTGGGTGGAGCAATGGCCTGACTCAGGATAAGGCAGCCACCTGTGTTCCTTTGTACCTGTCATGGGTGAAGTGTCAGGAATTCAGTCAGTGCAGGAGAAAGTGTGTGATTCTTTGGAGAACCTCTAGTTGCTAGGCATATCACCCTGGGCAAAGGGTTGGAGGTGCAGGGGCTTCTCACGATGTGCAGACTTTTAGGTGCTTCCCCCCCCCCCCCGGTGGAGGATTGCCTGACCTCACTTGACCTCACTCGGCCGGTTAAGGAGACACCGTTGCCTGCTGCACATATTTATATATTGGTTCAAAAATGTTGATTTGGACCGGGATCTCGCGGACTGAGGGCATTGGGTATGTTTAGCCAGGACAAGACATGAGAGGTAATGTGACACCCATCTTCAAATATCTGAAGGTCAGATGGAAGATGGAGCAAGCTTGCTTTCTGCTGCTCCAAGAGGGGAGGGCTCCAGCTAACGGATTCAAATGACAAGGAAGGAGATTCTGACTCAACATTTGGAAGAACTTTCTGTTGGTGGGAACAGTTTGAGAGTGAAAAGGACCACCTTGGAAGGGGGTGGAGTTTCCTCCATTGAAGCATCTTAAAGAGAGGTGGCAGGGCCACCAGGTCAGGGATTCTGTGCCTGTGATCCTTGCATTGCAGGGGGTTGGTCTAGATGGCCCTTGGTGTCCCCTTCCAGCTCTACAATTCTATGATTCTCCTGCCCTCCACACATATCGTCCTGCCTCGGTTTGTACCAGAGGAGGTGCTGATGTAGCATTCCTTCGCTGGAGGTTTTTAAACAGAGGTTTGGTGGCGGCCGTGTGTCTGGGATTCCTGCTTTGAAAGGGTTTGGACTGGATGAGGTTCCTTCTAACCTCCATTCTATGAGTCTATGGGCTTATCCACACCTACCTTTCCTCTGTGCTTCCCAGGCAGGTCAGTGCTTCAAAGTTCTCTATCCTAGCTCTCATTTTTTGCCCCGAAGCTTTCACTGCGAAACCCACTCTTTGCCGCGGAATCGGAGCAAACGGCAATCCGTGGAGAAACGGAATCGTCTTGAGTTGTGCTTCAGCTTTAAAGAGCAGGTTTTTGCCCGGGGGGGGGGAGGCGTGAAGAGCGCTCAGACACAGAGCTTTAAAGCACAGGACCTTTGCCTAGAAAGCACAGAGCAAAATATAAGTGTGGATATTGATTTTATGAGTGCTCCAACCCAACTCTGTGGTACGGCATCCTTGCAGACCCTCCAAGTGTCCCTGTTTTCCAGGGTCAGCCCTGGATTTACAGAAGTTGCCCCAGTTTCTCATTTGATGCTGGAATGTCCCTCTTTTCCTTAAAGGTAAAGGTAAAGGGACCCATGACCATTCGGTCCAGTCGTGACCGACTCTGGGGTTGCGGTGCTCATCTCGCTTTATTGGCCAAGGGAGCCGGCATACAGCTTCCGGGTCATGTGGCCAGCAGGACTAAGCCGCTTCTGGCGAACCAGAGCAGCGCACGGAACCGCCGTTTACCTTCCCGCTGGAGCGGTACCTATTTATCTACTTGCACTTTGACATGCTTTCGAACTGCTGGGTGGGCAGGAGCAGGGACCGAGCAACAGGAGCTCACCCCGTCGCGGGGATTCGAACCACCGACCTTCTGATCAGCAAGTCCTAGGCTCTGTGGTTTAACCCACAGCACCACCTGCATCCCATCTCTTTTCCTTAGGATGTCCCTATTTTCATCAGAGAAATGCTGGAGGGTAGGGAGTTATGTGACCCCCGAGCCAAGGAGATAAATACAAACTTTAGAAGACATCTGAAGGCAGACCTGTATGGGGAAGTTTTTAAATGTTGGATGTTCTTCTGTATGTTGGAAGCTCCCTATTTTTACTGGAGAAATGCTGGAGGATATGGCATTGTGGGCTGTTTCTTCTTTAACAGTTGCTCAGCTCAGTCACTATTGACAAAGCTGTAGCCGTTGGAGTTGCTGGAATCTGCTGGAGGGAAAGCTGTTCTTGTGCTCAGGTCTTGCTTGTGGGCTTCCTGTAACTGGCACCTGGTTGGCCCCTGTGAAAACAGGATTGTGGACTAGATGGGCCATGGGCCTGATCCAGCGGCCAGCTCTCCTTATGTTCTTAGGCCTGCCAGCCAGGGCTCCTGCTTCTCAGTCTGCAAGATGAAGCAGGTTCCCTCCTCCTCCTCCTCCTCCTCCTCCTCCTCCTCCTCTCCCTGCCTGGGAAGAGGATCCCCTTTCTCACGCACAGCTTGCCGCTCGGAACAAAAGTTTGGCACCGAGAGAGCGGCTGAGGGATGCAGAGATCATTAGCAGCTGTTTGGAAAGGGAGTGTGTGGGGCTGCGAAGCCGATGCGGTTAGGAAAACCGCCTGGCTCTGCCTCATTGCAGACAGAAGGGATCAGGTCCAGAAAACAGAGGAATTAATAGATCTGCTCCCCCTCAGCACACCCACCCACCCAGCCAGCCCTTTCCCCTTTCCCCTTTCGGCTCCATTGGCACAAGGCTGCCTCTGAGTGACAGTCTGAATGCTTGGCTCGATCCTTGCAGCTGGGACCCCTCAGGCGGCCTTGCTCCCTCCCTCCCTCAGATTTAGAGGATTCTCTCTCCCCCTTGCAGAAGAGAAGGAGAGAAGTTGGTTTTGATAAGCGGCTTCAGAGGCAGAGAGCAAAGAGAGATGAACTGTGATGACCACCAGCCTAGATGGCTTTGAAATAAGTTTGAGACAAATTCATGCAGAAGGGGGCTATCAAGGGCTCCTAGCCAGGATGGCTCTGCGCTGCCTGCACACTGGAGACAGTAAGTCTTCTGAACCCCAGTTTCTGGAAACCACAGGAGGAGAGAGGACTCTGCCCAGACACTGAGGTCCAGCTCCGAGGGTCTTCTGGCGGTTCCCTCATTGTGAAAAGTGAGGTTACAGGGAACCAGGCAGAGGGCCTTCTCGGTGGTGGCACCCGCCCTGTGGAACGCCCTCCCACCAGATGTCAAAGAGATAAACAACTACCTGACATTTAGAAGACATCTGAAGGCAGCCCTGTTCAGTGAAGTTTTTAATGTGTGCCATTTTAATATATTTTTTAATCTTTGTTGGAAGCCGCCCAGAGTGCCTGGGAAACCCAGCCAGATGAGCAGGTTACATATAATAATAATATGCTCAGATCCTGCTTGCAGGCTTCCCTAAGGGGCACCTGGTGGGGCACTGTGAGAACAGGAGGCTGGAGTAGATGGGCCCTTGGCCTCATCCAGCAAACTCTTTTTATGCAGAATAAATTTGGGGGAGAAGCAGGAAGGTTACAGGAGGCTTGCGGGGCCCACAAGTCTTTTTGAGGCAGTGGGAAGCCAAAGAAGAGGCAAAGCTTCAAATCTCTATGAAATCACAGCAGTAATCCTCACCAAGCCATAAAATGCCTCAAACCGTGTGTTTGAAGTGATGGGGTGGGATCCGGAGCAGTGTTTCTTCTCTGCCACCCAGGTCCCGCTGCATCAGAAGGTTCTGTGGTTTTAATGGGAAAGGGAAGAGCTTTCAGGGAAGCCCACCTGCCGCCATCCCAAGGTCAAAAGTGAGGAAGCAAAGTCCTCCTCTCAAAGACCTTCTAGAATACCTTGTGAGGAGAGCGCAGAATTTTCATTCCGTGAAATGCATGATTCACATTTTGCTTCAAGCGCAAACCTGATTTGCTAAAATCAGCGAGATTTAGCCGTTGAATTCAGTGGGACTCAGTTGCACCCTCTGATTTTTCAGCTGTGGTTTTAGCGAGACAAAATAATGACTCTAGGCTTAATTGTGGCCCCAAACTACTCGTCAAGTGTCTAAAATCTGAAACAGTTCTCACAGCAGAGAGAGATTTCTTCCACTCTCTGGCCCCCGCTCCGTCACCTTCTGAATCACATTCCGTTTACAGATTTAACAATTTAAACACAATGACCATAATTATAACACATCGCAATGTAACGCAACCACAGGGGTTTGGACAGGATGACCCTTCGGGTCCCTTCCAGCTCTACAGATTTCTGGGTCCATGAACATGACCATCTCCACCGAAACCTCTGATGTTTAGATGAGCGCAAAGCATTCCAGCAGGTCAGCTAACAATATCCAGCCCCGGCAATACTATCCACCGGCACGAAGCATTCCTTCAGCTGCGCAAACGCTTCCCAGAACTTTTCCATAAACAGAACGGGACGGAGAGGAGGTGCAAGTTCCTTCCAATTTAAACCCAGCTCCTCGGCGCAGCTGGGATTTCCATTTGGCCGCCTGATTCCCGAAGCCAGGGCTTTTGGCAGGGAGCGCCGCAAGAGAGCATCACGAGGAGGGTGATAAAATTTCCAGGGCTGGCTGGCAGCGCTGCAGCTTTTGTGGGAGGCAGAGATGTTTTTGGGGAGAGCAACAGGCCCTCTTGCAAGATCTTCCTCTCATATAAGTCATGTCAGACTAACCTGATCTCGTTTTTTGACAGAATTACAAGTCTGGTAGATGAAGGGAACGCAGTGGATGTAGCCTACCTTGATTTCAGCAAGGCATTTGACAAGGTGCCTCATGATATTCTTGTAAAGAAGCTGGTAAAATGTGGTCTTGACTATGCTACCACTCAGTGGATTTGTAACTGGCTGACTGACCGAACCCAAAGGGTGCTCATCAATGGTTCCTCTTCATCCTGGAGAAGAGTGACTAGTGGGGTGCCACAGGGTTCTGTCTTGGGCCCGGTCTTATTCAACATCTTTATCAATGACTTGGATGATGGACTCAAGGGCATCCTGATCAAATTTGCAGATGACACCAAATTGGGAGGGGTGGCTAACACCCCAGAGGACAGGATCACACTTCAAAACGACCTTGACAGATTAGAGAACTGGGCCAAAACAAACAAGATGAATTTTAACAGGGAGAAATGTAAAGTATTGCACTTGGGCAAAAAAATTAGAGGCACAAATACAAGATGGGGGACACCTGGCTTGAGAGCAGTACATGTGAAAAGGATCTAGGAGTCTTGGTTGACCACAAACTTGACATGAGCCAACAGTGTGACGCGGCAGCTAAAAAAGCCAATGCAATTCTGGGCTGCATCAATAGGAGTATAGCATCTAGATCAAGGGAAGTAATAGTGCCACTGTATTCTGCTCTGGTCAGACCTCACCTGGAGTACTGTGTCCAGTTCTGGGCACCACAGTTCAAGAAGGACATTGACAAACTGGAACGTGTCCAGAGGAGGGCAACCAAAATGGTCAAAGGCCTGGAAACGATGCCTTATGAGGAACGGCTAAGGGAGCTGGGCATGTTTAGCCTGGAGAGGAGGAGGTTAAGGGGTGATATGATGGCCATGTTCAAATATATGAAGGGATGTCACATGGAGGAGGGAGAAAGGTTGTTTTCTGCTGCTCCAGAGAAGCGGACACGGAGCAATGGATCCAAACTACAAGAAAGAAGATTCCACCTAAACATTAGGAAGAACTTCCTGACAGTAAGAGCTGTTCGACAGTGGAATTTGCTGCCAAGGAGTGTGGTGGAGTCTCCTTCTTTGGAGGTCTTTAAGCAGAGGCTTGACAACCATATGTCAGGAGTGCTCTGATGGTGTTTCCTGCTTGGCAGGGGGTTGGACTCGATGGCCCTTGTGGTCTCTTCCAACTCTATGATTCTATGATTCTATGATTCATCACCCAGCAGCAGCTTCTCCTACTCCTCCTCCTCCTCCTCGGCCATCTGCCAGGAACGCAGAGTCTGGGAAGAGGTCTGGCTTGCAGGATAAATAGGGTGGTCCCCCCAGAGCGTGGGCTGCAGGAACAGAGCTCCGCAAACATCTTTCATGTCAGGCTGAGCGAGAGCAGTTCCCCAGAGGCCACCCCGGGAGCAAGAGGGAAGAGGGAGGGTGCTCTTTGGGAGAGCCGACTCAGGTCCCCCAGGCCAGGGGCGTCAGGGCGGGCCAGCGCTCGACTTGCTTACATTGGACGGGTGATCGAGGCACCGCCAAGAGCCCTCTGTGCAAACACAGAGGCCAGGGAGAGATTTCCTGGTCAGAGGTTTCCATCTCAACACAAACAGAGGCTTGCCAGAGGCTGAGATCCAGAAGGGTTTAATCTCACGCTGGAGCCAGATGAGAGCTTTTCAGAGTCTTGTGATTGGAGCCCTAGTTACCCAGGCTGTATACAGTGGTACCTCGGGTTACAGACGCTTCAGGTTACAGATGCTTCAGGTTACAGACTCCGCTAACCCAGAAATAGTACCTCGGGTTAAGAACTTTGCTTCAGGATGAGAACAGAAGTCGTGCTCCGGCGGCGCGGCGACAGCAGGAGGCCCCATTAGCTAAAGTGGTGCTTCAGGTTAAGAACAGTTTCAGGTTAAGAAAGGACATCTGGAACGAATTAAGTTCTTAACCTGAGGTACCACTCTATTGTTGTTGTTTAGTTGTTTAGTCGTTTAGTCGTGTCCGCCTCTTCATGACCCAATGGACCAGAGCTCACCAGGCCCTCTTGTCTTCCACTGCCTCCCGCAGTTTGGTCAAACTCATGCTGGTAGCTTCCAGAACACTGTCCCACCATCTCGTCCTCCGTCGTCCCCTTCTCCTTGTGCCCTCCATCTTTCCCAACATCAGGGTCTTTTCCAGGGATTCTTCTCTTCTCATGAGGTGGCCAAAGGATTGGAGCCTCAGCTTCAGGATCTGTCCTTCCAGTGAGCACTCAGGGCTGATTTCCTTCAGAATGGAGAGGTTTGATCTTCTTGCAGTCCATGGGACTCTCAAGAGTCTCCTCCAGCTCCATAATTCAAAAGCATCCATTCTTCGGCGATCAGCCTTCTTTATGGTCCAGCTCTCACTTCCATACATCACTACTGGGAAAACCATAGCTTTAACTATATGGACCTTTGTTGGCAAGGTGATGTCTCTCCTTTTTAAGATGCTGTCTAGGTTTGTCATTGCTCTTCTCCCAAGAAGCAGGCGTCTTTTAATTTCGTGACTGCTGTCACCATCTGCAGTGATCATGGAGCCCGAGAAAGTAAAATCTCCCACTGCCTCCATTTCTTCCCCTTCTATTTGCCGGGAGGTGATGCTGTATATAGGTCTACTCATTTCGTCTCCCTTGCTATCACAGAATCATAGAGTTGGAAGGGACACCCCAGGGTCATCTAGTCCAACCCCGTGAAATGCAGGTGGTTAAACAAGTGTAGAGAGCCAGTGGCAGAGCAGTGGTTGCTAGTTAGAGAGTTGGACAAAGATCTGGGAGAGACCAGGGTTCAAATCCTGCTGCTCAGCCATGAAGCTCACTGGGTGACCTTGTGGGCCGGCCACTGCCTCTCAGCCTCACCTACCTCCCAGGGCTGTTGTTGCAAGGATAAAACAATGAGGAGGAGAATTATGGATGCCACCTTGAGCTCCTTGGAGGTAGTAAAAAAGGAAATAAATAGGTGCTGCAGGTTTTGGAACACAGCAAAACCCTGCTAACGTGTTTGACCAGTGATGATAGTTGGAAATGTGTGTATTAACTGGGTTTTAAAAAAAAGTTTTGAAAGCTGCCCAGAGAGTTCCAAGACTCAAGGCCTCCAGGCTGAAATATTTGTTGACCAGCACCGTTGTCCTCCATTGTCGTGGGACGTTGGTGGCCACAAGAGAAGCCTACTGAGACAGCCACCGGTGGCACTGGCTCGTAAGCCAGCCTTCGTCTTTGCTGAGGCCTCTGGCCCCCCATCCCTGCCCGTCCGCGTCAAGGAGAGCTAAATACAGACTGTGACCTATGAGGCAAATTGCGTCTGCTGTAGGTCGAAGCTGGCAAGGGCAGAGATAAAGCTCTGTGGCCTGTTTGTGTCCTGAAAGCCTAAAGAGGAGTGAGAAACTCAGAGAGCCATAGAACTGGAGGGTAGGAAGGGAACCCCAGAAATCATCCAGCCCAACCCCCTGCAATGCAGGAACCAGCATGCAAATAGGGAGATCTGAACTTGAGTCTGGGGGATAATCAAAATGGAGAGAAACCACAATGGACGAGATCTGGTTCTGAGCCAGATGACCCCAGGGTCTGACTCAAAACAAGGTGAATTCATGTGTGTGTGTGTGTGTGTGTGTGTGTGTGTGTGTGTGTATGCAATTGATGGTGAACTGCTCTGACTGCTTGCTGTCCCCCTTCCCTTAAAGGACCCCCAATCCCTGGATGTTGCCGTGCAGAACACGCTCTCGGGCCTCTACCCCCCGTTTGACATCACGGCGCCCACTGTCCTCAGCCAGCTCTTCCGCGTCCTGGAGGCCAGATACCACAGCGATGGGCTCTGCTGCCTGCTGGACTTCCTCATCCCTTCCAAGCGCCTTCTGGAGCACGTGCGGCAGGCGGCCTGCGTAAGTGCAAGAGGAAATGCCCGGGCTTTGGGCAGCTGCACTTTAGAGCATCCTTCCCCAACCTGGTGCCCTCCAGGGGTCTTGGACTGCAACTGCCATCAGTCTCTGCCATGGGGGCTACAGTCTTAGAATTACAGAGGTGGAAGGGACCCCACGGGTCATCTAGTCCAACCCCTGGCAATCCACCACCGTCCATTCCTCTGTCAAAGAGCTCTTAAACTCAGAATGTTCTTCCAAATGTCGAGTCAGAATCTCCTTCCTTGTCATTTGAACCCACTGGTTCTGAATCACCAGAAAACAAGCCTGCTCCATCTTCCTTTTTTTTAAAAAAAGTTTTTATTTATACTTTTCAAATTTATACATTTCATTAATTTTACAATCATTTTAATATTTCAAGGTTTGACTTCCTTCCCCCTCTTTCTGCGGTTGTTAATATCTTCTGCATATCCAAATTCATTTAATTTGCTACTTTAATTATCTTAAAGTATAATTTAATTATCTTAAATTAAATTATCATTTAATTTAATTATCTGCTTTAAATATAAACTCTTATGGAGCTGCAGGTTATTACAATAATCCTGCCAAGGTTTGTATCTGTTTGCAATTTATCTGTAAATATTCAATAAACCATTTCCATTCTTTCATAAAAAGTTTGTTATCTTGATATCTTATTCAAGCTTGCTCCATCTTCCCTGGGACACAGACAGCCCTTCTGAAATTTGAAGGTGGCGATCATGTTGCCTCTCAGCCTCCTCCGTTCCACTAAAGTCCAAAACATCCATAGGGCACCAGGTTAGAATGGGAAGGGACCCCTCAAGTCCATCTAGTCCAACCCCCTTCAAATGCTGGAATCTCCATTAAAGCATGCATGACAGATGGAGGTTGGTTGCATTAGAGACAGCGCAGAGAGGACCACATCCTCCCATCATGATCTTGTCTCATGCAGGCCCATGGAATAATAATAATAATAATAATAATAATAATAATAATAATAATTTCTTATTTATACCCCACCCATCTGGCTGGGTTTCCTCAGCCACTCTGCACGGCTTCCAACACAATATCAAAATACAATAGTCTATTAAACATTAAAAGCTTCCCTAAACAGGGCTGCCTTCAGATGTCCTCTAAAAGTCTGGTAGTTGTTTTTCTCTTTGACATCTGGTGGGAGGGCGCTCCACAGGGCGGGCGCCACCACCGAGAAGGCCCTCTGCCTGGTTCTCTGTAACTTGGCTTCTCGCAGGGAGGGAACCACCAGAAGGCCCTCGGAGCTGGACCTCAGTGTCCGGGCAGAACGATGGGGGTGAAGACGCTCCTTCAGATCTACTGGACCGAGGCCGTTTAGGGCTTTAAAGGTCAGCACCAACACTTTGAATTGTGCCCAGAAACATACTGGGAGCCAATCTATACTGAGGCTGAGGAAGCAAGGATAAGTTGCATCCCATAATTATAAATAAATAAATAAATAAATAAATAAATAAATAAATCCTTTATTAGGCATAGCAAACCACACATTATCAAACAGATGTCGTATACAAATTGTGCAAAATACGAGCTCAACCTAACAAGGTTTGTCCCAGTCAGATATTTAACTCCAGAGAAAATCAATTTGCATAAATAATGCAATACAACATTACCACATCACCAATCAATTAAGAACCACTAAATCTCTTTATAATGGCCCAGTCTTTCTACATGGACAGCACTCAAAAATTCAGCCACTATTAAAGTAATTTGATCATTCCTGTCCGAGATCAGGTCCTGAACCGTTGGTGGCATAGAATTGAGCCTATTGTGCTGTGAGGCCTCTAATAATTGTCTTCTGGCATAAATGACAAAATCACAAGAAAAGAAAATGTGAAAAGAACATAATTATATTCTCCTTCTCTGCCCCTTTTTCATGCCCGTCTGCAGGCTCCTTACTCCGGCTGCGTCTTCCTCCACGAAGGGTGGCCCCTGTGCCTCCGCGAGAAAGTGGTCGTCCACCTCGGACCGCTCAACCCTCTCCTCCTTCGCCCGGGGGACTTCTACCTGCAAGCGGAGCCCTGTGGGGAGCAGTCGGCCTGCCTGGTGGTCAAGTGCCTCTCCAGGGACCTCACCACTGTGGAGAAGATCTCCGTCCCCGAAGCGTCCTGCTCCTTGCTGTTCACCAAAGAGTGGCTGGAGGAGGTCAACCGAGACCTGGACCGGCCAACGCTCCACACCTGCCTGGTGGCCACTGGGAATGGGATCGTCCCCCTCCCGTGGAATAAAATAGCCGTCCCAGAATTTGTTGGGGTGCCCAAAACGGAAGGTTTGGTGGAGCAAGAGTCCTCAACCCACCTAGCAAATCTGCGTCCGGACTGCAGTCCCGACTCAGGGAGCTTGCAGTCCTCTCCGCTTAAGTATCCTGGCCTCATCAAAGTTGTAGAAGGAACCTGGAAGAAATCCGCTCTCTTTGCTTTGCCGAGTCTGTGCGACATCATCGGCGACAACCTGGAAGGCGAATACGTGAATCTTCTGGGGTTTTCCGAAGAAGGGAAGCAGGATAATTCTCCTCCCGTCAAGGCAACAGGGTCAGCCAGTGGGGAGCAGCTGCACACAGTTGCAGCGTCACCCAAGGTGGAGAAGGACCTCCTTTTGGTGAATGGGGATGACGGGGAGATGGCCGGGGGCTGGAGCTGCGGGAAGGGGCAAAACTCAGAGGAAGGGCCCTGCACACCTTGCCTGAGGCGGCGGCTGGGCCAAGACACCAAGGTTCATGAGCCGAGGTGCAGGTACCGTGAGTCATATGTGGCGGCCCTCAAGAACCCGGTCAGCTTCAGCTCGGGGTTGATGGCAGCTATTTTGGAAGAGATGGATACGTCGAAGCAGGGCTCCTCTTCCCTCTCGGAAAGCACAGGCGTGTGGCCTCTGGAGGGATCAGGCCAAATTTTCTCTGAGCAGCCGAACAAGATTGAGAAAGCGGAGGACGACACTTCCAAACCAGGCCACTCCAGACTCCCGAAGCCTCCGGCCGACTGTCCCGCTGCCAGCAATAAATTCTCATTCCTGAAAGGCCACCGTCAGCTGGGCTCCTCGTCGGGTGGCCTGCCAGGGGCGGAGAAGGCCGGGAAGGGCCAGGAGGGGCACCGGAAAAGGACGTCGGCCGTTTGCTCTCCCCGCCCGGCCAGAGCAAAGGCGGCAGCTGGGAAAGGTGAGAGTGGGAATAAAGGGAAGGGCTGGGAGGAAGCCACACAGAAGCATGCTCAGAGGCCTGCAGGGGACGGCCGCACTGAAGTCTGCATGATGCACTGGCATCTCTGGCTCAGGGTTATGTGCAAAAGGTTGCAGCATTGGGGGCTTTTCTGCCTGGAGAAAAGGAGAGAAAGAGGGAGCACGACACAGTTATGCACGGCTTGGAGAAAGGGGACGGAGGAAAGTTTTTCTCCTTCTTCCATAAGACTGGTACTGGGGGGCATCCGCTGGAGGGCTGGAAGAAGATTCAGGATGCAGCCCGCAATCTCACTGGGCTCCCCCAGCCGCTCTGGGAGGCTTTCAACAAATTAAAACACAATATGAACAGACTGCCTTCCTGTTCAAATGGTTGTTATTATTATTATTATTTCGTTATCTATACCCCATCCGTCTAGCTGGGTTTCCCCAGCCACTCTGGACAGCTTACAACAACATTTTTTTAAAAAATCAATCCCTTAAAACTTCCCTAAACAGGGCTGCCTTCAGATGTCTTCTAAAAGTGTGGTAGTTGTTTTTCTCTTTGACATCTGGTGGGAAGGCGTTCCACAGGGCGGGCGCCACCACCAAGAAGGCCCTCTGCCTGGTTTCCTGTAGCTTTGCTTCTTGCAATGAGGGAACCGCCAGTGCTGGACCTCAGTGGCCGGGCAGAACGATAGAGGTGGAGACGCTCCTTCAGGTATACTGGATTAAGGCCGTTTAGGGCTTTAAAGGTCAGCACCAACACTTTCAATTGTGCCTGGAAATGTACTGGGAGCCAACGTAGGTCTTTCAGGACTAGTGGTATATGGTCTCAGCAGCCACTCCCAGTCACCAGTCTAGCTGGCGCATTCTGGATTAGTTGTAGTTTCCGAGTCACCTTCAAAGGTAGCCCCACATAGAGTGCATTGCAGTAGTCCAAGTGGGAGATAACCAGAGCATGCACCACTCTGGCCAGACAGTCTGCAGGCAGGGAGGGTCTCATCCTGCGTACCAGATGGAACTGATAAACAGCTGCCCTGGACACAGAATGGACCTGCGCCTCCATGGACAGCTGTGAGTCCAAAATGACTCCCAGGCTGCGCACCTGGTCCTTCAGGGCATAGTTACCCCATTCAGGACCAGGGAGTCCTCCACACCCACCCACACCCTGTCTCCCCCAAAACAGTACTGCTGTCTTGTCAGAATTCAACCTCAATCTGTTAGCCGCCATCCATCCTCCAACAGCCTCCAGGCACTCACACAGGACCTTCACCGCCTTCACTGGTTCTGATTTGAAAGAGAGGTAGAGCTGGGTATCATCCGCATACTGATGAACACCCAGCCCAAGCCCCCTGATGATCCCCTTAAAAGAGGATCAGACAAATTCATGAAGGAGGGAAGGGCTATTGATGGCTCTGCTTCTGAATAAAGCTCTCTCCCCAGCCCTCTCTCTTACAGCAGCTGGGATTCAGGAGCACTGCTGCCTCCGACTGCGGACTAGACGAGCCTTGGTCTGATCCAATATATGTCTCTCCCCTGATTTGCCTACGAGACACCTCCTCTCTGCATTTTTCCTTCTCTGAAGGGTAGGACTCGAACTAATGGCTTCAAGTTACAAGAAAGGAGATTCCGAGTAAACATTCGGAAAAACTTTCTGACAGTAAGAAGCTGCTGGACAGTGGAACAGACTGCCACTAGAAGTGGTGGACTCTCCTTCCTTGGAGGTTTTTAAGCAGAGGTTGGATGTTCATGTCATGGATGCCTGAAGCTGAGATTCCTGCATTGCAGGGGGTTGGACTAGATGACCCTTAGATCCCTTCCCAGTCTAAGATTCTCTGATTTCAGGGCACCCTGTGACCTGATTTGTGGGGTCTTCTTGGGTGGTCCTGATTTATGATGGGTGTGTATCAACATAGATCATGGCGTTTGGGGACAACCCATCTCTGCTACTCTCTAACTTTCACATCTTTCTCCTGGCCAGGTGACGTTGTGCTTTCAGAACTTCCAGCTCCCAAGAACGCGGAGAGTGTCGCCATTCCTACGTCCCCTGCCGATGTCCTGCTCAGAGAATCGCCTCCTCCGGGATCTGGCCCACAGGATCTGGCCCAGTGGGAGATGCTCAGTCCCGAGCTTTTATCTTCTGGGATTGTATGTCTGCCAGGTACTGCAATAGTGATGCAATAGTGCCGTCACCATCTTCGCACGCAGCTGACCTCTTGCACAGCTCTCATTTGTACCAAAGACTGCAATGGGCCACTTTAAAAACATCTCAGGGTGATCTGGGCTTTGGGGCAACCACAGCTCACTGTTTGCTGCAGTAGACTAATGCACCCCCCTTCAGGAAACTGTTCCATTGGTCTGGAAAGCCTAGTACCTGAGAATTTTCTGGTGGCTCCTGCCCTGAGGTTGCAACCTTTCTAGCTATCCCCAAAGAAAGCGGACCATAATAAATAAATCCACATTTATATTTTTCTTCTATTGAATATAATAATGGGTGCCGCTAGAAAAGGAGGGTTTCGAAAAGCAGGTGTGGGAATGCGAGAACCAGTGGGGGTTGCAGTGTTGGGAGAGTCCTGGGTTCAAATCCTCCCACTCAGCCACAAAGCTCGCTGGGTTTGACCTTGGGGACAGCCACTGCCTCTTGGCCTGACCCACCTCACAGGGTTCTTGTGAGGATAAAATGGGGGATACCAAAGTACACCACATTGAGCACCTTGGATGAAAAGGTGGGGTATCAATGAACTAAGTCTCTCTCTCTCTTGGCATCTTATCACATTTATGGTTGCACTGACTTTCCTTTGGCTCCAGGAAACGTGGATAAGCTTGGCAGACCCATCGTCCAGATCTGCAGCGGTGGCCCAGCGTGGCAAGCCCCGTGGTGCTCAGCCAGAGAAGTGGCACGCCTTCTCCTCTTCCTTTGCACCATGTCTAGGTCAGTCCCCCTCCTTCAGCGGCCGGCCAGCCGCCTGGGACTCCCTTGTCAGTTCCTGTGATGGTCAATGAGAACGATGCTCAAGTCTCTTTCCTGCAGTCGTAGACAAATAACATCATAGAAGCGTCGCGTTGGAAGGAGCCCCCAGGCTCACCTGCTCTGGTTGTCAGATACGATTGAAGGCATGAGGGCATGGGTGCAGGTGTGAGTGGTTTGGCGGCGAGCGTTGCTCAGTTGGTGGTTGGGCATCAGGGCCAAACCCTGGGTAAAAGTAAAGGGACCCCTGACCATTAGGTCCAGTCATGGCTGACTCTGGGGTTGCGGCGCTCATCTCGCTTTACTGGCCGAGGGAGCTGGCGTACAGCTTCCGGGTCATGTGGCCAGCATGACTAAGCCGCTTCTGGCGAACCAGAGCAGCGCACGGAAATGCCGTTTACCTTCCCGCTGGAGTGGTACCTATTTATCTACTTGCAACTTTGATGTGGGGATTTGAACCGCCAACCTTCTGATCGGCAAGCCCTAGGCTCTGTGGTTTAACCCACAGCGCCACCAGCATGACTAAGCCGCGAACCACAGCAGCGCACGGAAACGCCGTTTACCTTCCCGCTGGAGTGGTACCTATTTATCTACTTGCAACTTTGATGTGCTTTCGAACTGCTAGGTGGGCAGGAGCAGGGACCGAGCAACAGGAGCTCACCCTGTCGCAGGGATTCAAACCGCCGACCTTCTGATCGGCAAGTCCTAGGCTCTGTGGTTTAACCCACAGCGCCACCCATGTCCCAAACTCTGGGTATCCCATGATCAAAGGGATCTGGGGCGGGGAGGGGGCAGAGCCAAAGGCATTCCCCCAGACGGCGGTCCCTGCGGGGGTCACCCTATTTTATGTAAGTCTCAGGAACCTCCGCCCGGATCGACCTACGCTTCACTTCCGATGGGTGGGCTGGAAGTATTTAGATTGCCCCCTGCACAAGCCAAACCTCTTTCATCTGTATTCAATAGTTACGGCCCGTTTTGACCCCCAAAACCAGCCTCATTGGTCTCTTATTTATATGGGTTGGGGCAGGTTGGCTTTGATTTAAATCAAATTGATTTAAATCAAATCAAGTCTTACTGACTAGTGATTTATCAGTAAGACTTGATTTAAATACTTTTTCTTTTACAGAAAGACTCATTCTTGCTGGTATCATCTTAATATTGACAACAAGAGAAAGGTTTTTTTTGGAATAATAAATTTTCAGAGTTTTTTTTGCAGTTATATCAAAAATTACTGATTTGGTTATATTGTTAGAAATACATAGACAGATAATTATGAAATTATTGCGAGGTTTAATAAGTCAACTGTTTATATTTGGACAACCTTTCTGCTGTACGTTATTAGGAGAAAAATAATGATTTCCTTAATAACAATTTAAACAATTTAACTAAAACAATAACATTATAGCATATGTATCCATGTTTGTTAACTGATGTGGATAAACATTTTTTTAAATAAAAAAACCCCTTAGACTCAAACTTATGAGTTTAGCACACGTGAAAATCTTGAAATAAATCCTTCTTTCCTGATGAATAGCCTTTGGACAATAATGTAACTTAAATAGAAAACTACTGTATCTTTAGAAAGATTTTTCCTCCAAAAGCATTTTATTTTAAAAATCCAATTTAAATAATAATAAAAAATCATTGATTTTTATCTACCCTGGGTTGGGGTATGGGGAGCCTGGTGCCTGGTCCCGCAACTCCCTGGCCCTCCAGATTTCAATCATAGAATTGTAGAGTTGCCCACCGCAGGCCCAGGGCCGAATTTAGGTTTGATGTGGCCCTCAGCTCCTGAAGGTAATGGGGCCCTTTATATGTCCAGCTGTCCTTTGTCAACAAGAAATTGTCACTGTATCTAAAGCCATTTGCGCATAACGAAATAGGTATTTTATCAAAGTAATTATTGAACTGAAATACAGTTAAGAAGAAGTATATTAATAGTGAAATAATTATTAAGCTCTAACTTAAAATGATTTTTATTCATAACAAACTTAATAATGAAAACACGTTGGCATTTGGCAATAGCAAAAGTTCCATTAGAAATACAATTTACAAAGACTCATAATCTTGTTTCTAGAAACTTGCTATAACATGAAATAATAATAGGTGTACATATATGATGCAAACTACTAATAATTATAAATAGCAGAATATAGGCACCCTGTATATATAAATGAGCAAACCAGTGATATTTTAGGGAGCAGGTTAGCAGGCGAGGCCCATTATTTACATCATAGGAGCCTACACAACACAAAACACTGTTGCTGTAGGTAGGTTTTGTTTTATTGGTTTTTTATCTTATATTTTAGAAATGTACATCCAGTTGTTTTTTTCCTTTAATTTTTTGGGGCCCCCAGAGAGTGGGGCCCTAAGCTAGAGCTTGTTTAGCTTATACGTAAATCCTGCACTGCACAGTCAGCAAAATAGAGAGGGGGTCTGGCCCACTCCATGAAAAAAATTTTTGGGGGGATGACCCCCTTGGCTCCCCCTCCATAGCGCCAGAATGTGCAACAATGTCTATCCTCCCACAGCATCTCATGCAAGGACTCAGACTTGTCTTTGAGTTTGCTTCTCCCACCATGGAGTAAAAACCATCCTTTCATCCAGTTTGTCTGCATCTCTTTCCATTCTGCAGGAAGCTTTCGAAGGACACGGGGCTGGCACTTGTCATCGATGCCAGAAAAGAGATGCCCCCACCCGCCCTCTCTGCCGCCCTCGGATCCGTCCAGGTAATCTCAGGTGGGTGGGAAAAATCACAGCAAGGGGAGGGGAGTTTGCAGGGAGCAGCTGGCTTTTTCCAGAGAGGTTTTGTCACCCTAAGTCACTGTTATGTACTGAGTTGAATAGGATCCAGAATGCAGCAGTCTGATTGGCCCTAGAACAATAGGATTCAGAATGCAGCAGTCTGATTGGCCCTAGAACAATAGGATTCAGAATGCAGCAGTCTGATTGGCCCTAGAACAATAGGATTCAGAATGCAGCAGTCTGATTGGTCCTAGAACAATAGGATTCAGAATGCAGCAGTCTGATTGGCCCTAGAACAATAGGATTCAGAATGCAGCAGTCTGATTGGCCCTAGAACAATAGGATTCAGAATGCAGCAGTCTGATTGGCCCTAGAACAATAGGATTCAGAATGCAGCAGTCTGACTGGTCCACAGGAGCCACCCAATCCAGCTCCAGGTGGAAGTGAATCCGCAACCTGATTGGCCTACAGGTGAATCCCGGAATTAGCCAATCATGTGGGGCCCATTGTGTAAATAATGTATATAAAGCAGACATTCTGGGGGAATTTCCATTCCTACTCACCACTATGAGCTGAATAAAGAGCAGGAAATCCACTCTGGACTCCTTTCAGTCACAAACTGCAAGGAACGGCTCCTCGCGGCCCTCATGTGGTGAAACAGAGGTACAGCAGATATTTTTTAAAATACTATAATGTTAATAATAATAATTACTGTACATGTATTTATATCCTGCCTTTCCCCCCAGACTGGGACTCAAGGCAGCTTACACAAATTAAAACAGCACAAATAAAATGGAAAAAAGCTAAAAACACATGAAGGACAATTATTAAAAAGTTATTAAATGGCTAGAATTAAAATAATATAAAAACAGATCTGTTAAGTACAGATAATACAAGCATAACTTTCATGGGATGAGACCTGGGACTGAGTTTCTTCTTCCCTCTGTGAAGGATAATCCTTCTGAATCACTTTTCACGACGAGCAATTTCTATAAAACCAGAATGTAAATGCTTGTCTTCCTTCTCCCCCACACAAACTACAGTATAGGCAAATTGCAGGAGACTGAGGAAGACAATGCAAACCTAATTTTATTTTGGTTTTATTTATCACATTTATACCCCAGCTTTTCCTCCAAAGAGCTGAGGGTTCTCTTCCTCCTCATTTAACCCCCACAACAACCCTGTGGGGTAGGCTGGGCTGAGAGGCTGAGCTCCCCGGCAGAGCTGGGATTTGAACTCTGGTCTCTCCCAAGTCCTAGCCCAGCTCTCTAACCGCTGTGCCGCCCTGCCTCTAGAGAAACCAGGGACCGTATTCTGTGGGGACAACCGATAAAGGGCTGAATCAAGGCGGTTGGGAAACCCAAAAGCTGGTGTTTGGTGAAATTTCATCCTGGATACCCATTTTCCTTGCAGAAGACCCTGCCTGGCTCCATCCACGCTGTTTTCCTGATGGCAGAGAAGGAGGCAGCCTCACATTTGGAGAAGCTACCTGGCGTGCAGGTGAGTCCCAGAGCATTGTGTTATTTTGATGCTGAAATATAATCAGAGTCAAATGTGAATTTCATGCTCTTTTTTCAGCTCCTAGTAGCAATGAATGAAACTTTCCCCAAAACGTCTAGTTACATATACATTATTTACACAATGGGCCCTGCGTGATTGGCTAATTCCGGGCTGCTCCTGTAGGCCAATCAGGTTGCGGATTCACCTCCTCCAGAAGCCTGATTGGCTTCTCCTGCAGGCCAATTAGGTTGCTGATTCACTTCCACCTGGAGCTGGATTGGGTGGCTCCTGCAGACCAATCAGACTACTGCATTCTGGATCCTATTGTTCTAGGATTCAGCTCAGTACATAACAGATGTGCTCTCATCTCTCCTCCATCCCCCACTGCTAACATCATTTCTTCCACAAGAGCGATGGACCTGATCTCCTGGTTTGATCATTCTGCTTTCTCAGCTCTCCCCTCACACTTTCATGCAGTCAGCCTCATTCGCAGCCTGTTGTAAGCGAAAGAAATCAAGAAATCAAGCGAAAGAAATCAACAGGTGCGGCTTCCCTCATCTGCTGCAAAGCGTTTCACCTGTTGAACTTCTGCCCATCCAAGAGGTTGCTGAGTGCACTCCGAGGTCCGTGTAGCCTGGTGTTTTGTCAGGCCCCTAAGGAACCAGATGCAGCCTATGCCTTAAATATTGACTGGTTTCCCAGGCTGTAAGCATCCTATCACTGCTGGTGCAATGGGACTCCCCCATGGCACCCCATTTCCCCCCGCCCCGAATCCGTCCAGTCGGTGCCCTCCGTTCCGCTCCTGCCCTCTCCCCTCTCCCAGCCCAGATAATGACTCCGATTCTTCTTTGCCCTAATGAGTTCCCGCGGCAAATCCATCTCTCTCTCCCAATTATAGCTCCGCAGGCCAGACTTGGGCATTCAGATAATAATTCAGCCCTGGGAAGGTTTCGCTGCTCTTTTATGAATGCTGCTTGGTTTAATTAATGGAATGGGAAATCTCAATGAGCTTGATAAACGGCCTCTGCTGCCAGTGATTAAAATACCCTCGGCTCCCCCTGTGCGTCTAGAAAGCACCTCAGGCAGGATCCTGTTTCCAGTCTGGCCTGGCGATGGATGGCGGGGGCCCCTCTCTGCTCCCTCCCCACCTCCCAGACTCTCTCCTCTTTCTTTTCTTTTTCTAAATTTAATTTTTATTAGTATTTTCCACACAACAACAACACAAAAAATATCGAAAAATAACAATACACAAAACACAAAAACCAACATACAACCTGCTGGGAATAATGGAAATCCCTTTTTAACGCAGCACATCGTTAAACTGTGGAACTCACTCCCACTGGAAGCAGCCATGTCCATAACCGGGAGGGCTTGAAAGGAGGATTAGACAAATTCGTGGTGGAGAGGGCTACCAATGGCTACTAGCCAGAAGGGCTATGCTTTGCGCATGGAGATGCAGGGCTCTCCTCGTGTGCTTTGGGGCCCTCCAGATGTTTTTGAACCACAACTCCCATCAGCCCCTGCTCACTGTGGCTGGCGGGAATTGTAGGAAAAACATCTGGAGGGCGTCAGGTTGGTGAAGACTGAACTGGACCTAAAATGGGCTGGTGGGGAAATGAGCTGAGTATAAACACTGAAAATCTTGATTTTACACCAGCCCTCTCCTCCTCCAATTTTTATACTGCTGGGCCTTTGACTATTGTGCCTGAAAATATACGTTGTTGTTATTTTTAAAAATATTTTATTGGCAATTTCAGCATAACATAATTTCAAAACATATCATATTCATTATTCCCCCCTTTCCCCCCACCCTCCATCAAACCCTCCCCCCCCAAGACTTCCCTCAGCTCCTCTCTCTGATTTCTCAGCACATATTATTCTCTGCATGTTATAAAATTGTACATATCCTTACATTATCTATCTATCTATCTATCTATCTATCTATATCTATCATATTACCAACCAATAAGTTTGTGTATGTTTATTCAAACCCTGCCAAGGAGTCCAGTTCATTTTGTTGTCTTGTTAGATAATTTGCAAAAAGCTCCCATTCTTCCTTAAAGTCACAGTTGTCCTTGTCCCGCAGTTTGTAGGTCAATTTAGCCAGTTCTGCATAACTCATAAAGTTTTTCTTGTCACTGTTCTTTCGTTGGGATTTCCTCATTCTTCCATCCTTGTGCTAGTTGTTGTTGTTTTTAAAACAACTCTGGCTGATAATTCTGCTCAGTCTTTTGAAAATGTATATTTTATATACTTTGCTGTTTTGAAATTTGTGTTAGCTGACTTGGTCTGTTAAACTGGACTCATTTTATAAAGAAATATTGACGCTGTGGTGTCGCCCCTGCAGATGGAGGTGCTGAGCTCCCTGAAGGCTCTGGGGCGGCACGTCGACAGCAGCCAGCTGACCCCGGCACTGGAGGGCCACTTCCCCTATTGCCACAGCGAGTGGGTCCAATACTTCCAGGTACATATTGTTGCAGCGGACGTTGTTGCCTTCCTCTTTCCCCTTTCTCCATCTTCTCCTTTTGCATCGCTCAAGATTTCAGGGCTGCTTCTGCAGCTAGCAGGGAAACGCCACACCTCTTAAATATTTGGAACAGTGGGAAAGGCTCTGGTGGATAGATATTAGGTTCGCCGCTTGCTACACCGTAAAATAGAATTTCAAGAAAATGTTTTTCACGTGGTACCTAACACCATCAAAGCTTGCCAAAATGTATAAACAGAAGTCTAATTTATGTTGGAAATACAGTGTGAACGGGATCCGTTCCGGAGCCCCATTCGCATCCTGAAGCGAACACAACCCGCGACTGCGCATTTGCATGTGCGCGGGTTGTGATTCGCTGCTTCTGCGCATGACATCATTTTGAGCGTCTGCGCATGCGCGAGCTACGAAACCCAGAAGTAACGCGCTCTGTTACTTCCGGGTCACTGCAGAGTGTAACCTGAAAATGCTCAACCTGAAGCACATTTAACTCGAGGTATGACTGTATGGAAAAATGGAAGGAACATTGTTCCATATCTGGTGGAGCTGCGACAAAAACCAAGACCTACTGGGGTATGATTCATGAAGAACTCAAAAAAATGTTTAAAACATCTTTACAAAAGAAACCAGAGGCATATTTATTAGGCTTATTGGGAGAAGATATACCACAGAAAAAGAAAGGAATTTTCTTATATGCTACAGCAGCTGCCAGGATAGTATATGCCAGCAAATGGAAGAGCAAACTAATACCCACAAAAGAAGACTGGCTATACAAACTAAGCCAATTTATAGAAATGGCAAAGCTAACTGCATACATGAGAAGACAGGCAAACCAAAAACGTAGATCAGAATGGCAATGCTTTGAAGCACTGTTCAAGAAAGAATATGTTGATATGCTTAGATTAAAGGAGTAAAGTAGAAAATATTAATTAGGAATGTCATAATGAGATCAAAATTTAAAATTTAAAAATTGCAATGATAGCATTGAATCTGTAAGATAAGGAGGTCAAGATGTTGTGGAGGGGGGTCAAAGGGTGTGGTGCTGGGAAGATATGGGGAAGGGAAGTATTTATGTGTTTATGTATATAAATAGTAGCCTTATTTTTGTATGTCTTTGTAGGGTGCATTTCTTTTTCTGTATTACTAAAATTAAATTTAAAAATTAGTGGGGGGGGGGGAGATAATACCCATCCTTCAGCCTGCCGGCCTCTGCTGCATCATCAGAGTCGACTGTCAGTCTGCTCAGCTTCTGAGGCGATGGGCACCATCTTGTTCTTTGCTGCGGGTGCAAAGCCAGCTTTGACCTCTCTGATCCCACCCACCTCTATCTCCCTGCCTCAGTTTCCTGCTTCTTGCCCACTTCTAACCACATTATTTGGGGTTATTTTATCTGACCGGCTGCCTGCTTCCTTCCCCTAGAAGATGCACCAGTTTGTGAGCGACCTCAAAAAGGCCTCCGAATTGTTGCAGAACACCACCCAAGAACTGGAAAAGGGGGGCAGACTGGAGACCCTGCAGGTAACACCTCCTTCCCCTGTGTCCCCCGTCCCCCCCGGACCTCAAGGAAGCATTGGGCTTGGTTTTTTACACGTTAGGACCTCAAGAAATACAACTCAATGATTTTTCCTTGCACAACGGATTGTTTCCCCTCCCTGCTGAGCGCTTCCAAAATCTGCTCCGGAGTTGAGTTTGGGGGACAGTGCAGGGGGGAGGGAAAAGGGAGAAATTCCCATAACGTTAGCACTGACCCTTTTACTAGCACAATAGGGAGAGCCAATGGTGTGATGCGGTCCTTTGCCAGGAGAAAAGGACGGTACTTTCCTCCAGGTGGGAGCTGTGATGGCTCCATTTGTGGTCTGTCCCGAAGGTGAGCTGCCTGTCGCACAGAGCTTACAACCGTGTGGAACATAGCTGTCAACCGTCCCTTATTTGGCGGGAAAGTCCCTTATCCCAGCGCCGTGTCCCTTATTGATGATGTCCCTTAAATTTCCCGGGTTTCAAAGGAAGCAGCTCCTCTCCTTCCCTCCCTGCCGGCCAGGGAGGAGGGAGGCTCCAACTGTGTGGCTTCGCTGCGTTGCTCACCCAAGAAGGAGTCTAAGAACGACTGGGAGGTAGAGCTTGCATGCCTTGTGCCGATCAAATCGGCCCCGTTGCCTGGGGACTCGCCTTTGCTCAGTTTGGCTGCTTCGTTTGGCTGCTAGCTGGGCTTTCTGTCTTTGGCTCAGAGGGGCTCAGAAGTTGAACATACCTGTGCTTGGAAAATCCCTTATTTTGGCTGCTGATCCCTTATTTTCAAGGCTGCTGGTCCCTTATTTTCAAATCTGTAAGTTGACAGCTATGGTGTGGAATAATTCCATCAATGCCGTTTTATTTCATTCAGAATAATCTAAGAAGTGCTCTGCCTAGTTCAAGAATTGCCAGCCTGGTGCAGGCTTGCAGGGGCTGATGGGAGTTGCATTCCTGAGGGCACCAGGTTGGCAAAGGGGCCCCCAGTTCATTTCCATTTTGTTCTCAACAGCAGTAAACCAAAAGCTTCTGGGAAATTCACAAAGACAGCTTCTCCCCAGCCCCAATTTGTCTCCAGCAGCTAGTATTCCAAGGTAGCCTGCCTCTGCCCATGGAGGTTTTCTTGAGCTTTGAGGGCTAATGGCCATTGACAGGCCTGGATGTGGCTAATGTGGGCCATTGTTCCGCAGGAAGTGGAGCATCAAATGGAGAGGCACCAGCTGCTGATGCAGAAGGTCTTGCGCAATGTGCAGCTGGTGAGCTTGCAGAGGGAAGGTGGGGCCACGCTGGCGAAACTGAGGAAGGAGGCAGCCCGGCTCAGCTTCTCCCCCAACGTCCGGTATGAAAGCAAGGGGGGAGCTCTGGCTTCCTCAAGGCCATCTCTGGGTCTGGGGAGAAAAGTCACCTCCTTGCAACCCGATTCGGATTACTGCAGTTCCTTTCGCTTCCACATTTTTCCAATCTCAAATTCAATTTCTCCACATTTCCTTTATTTAAAAGTTCTTGCTGAATTTTTTTTAATCATAATTTTTATTGAGTTTTCCATATTTCATTGCATAAATCCATGACTTAAAACATTGCTCACACAAAGCATCAACCTCCTTTCCTCCCTCTTTCTGACTTCCAAACGTCTTTTACCAATTCTTCGCATTTCTATAGCCACTTTTTTACCTTATATCTATCTTTTAACATTCACCTCCTTATATGTAAATCAGTTCCTTATTTTCATATTACCTAGCATTTCAGCTCAGACCTACAAACATTTTCAAATGTTTACAGTTTTCTTTCATATAAAATATAAATTTGCTCCAGTCCTTTTGATACAGCTCATCGTGCCAATTCTGGCTCTTCCCCGTCAGCTTTGCCAACTCCACATATTCAACCATCTCTATCTGCCAATCTTCCAGTGTAGGAAGTTCCTGCTGCTTCCATTTCTGGGCCAGAAGTATTCTTGCGGCCGTTGTGGCATACATGAACAAATTTACATCTTTTTTTGAATTTCCTCACCAATTAACCCAGTTCTTGTTGAAATTCTTCAGCGCTTTTGTACAAATTGCACCTCTTTTTTTTTTTTAAAGCACCTTCCCTAACGTGCCCCTCTCTTCGCTAGGAGCAGCATCAGCCGGGCTCTGACCCTCTACAACCTGGTGGAGGAGAAAGTCCACATGCTGGTCACCAAATCCAATGGCTGCCTGGAGCACCTGGAATTTCTGCTGAAGATCCGACAGCTGGAGGCGGAGTTTGGCAAGGTCAGTGAGGACCCCCGCCCCAGCCAAGTGGTACCCACCCAAGGTTGGCCATCCATGGCTGTGCCTGCCCAACCCAAATGGCTGGGAACGGTCAGCAGTCTCAGAACTTCAGAGTTGGAAGGGGCCCAAAGAATCATTTACCCAACCCCCTGCAAGAGAATACCGTATTTTGCACTCCATAAGACGTACCTAGTTTTTAGAGGGGAAAGCAAGAAAAAAAAAATTCTGCACAGAGCGTGTAAGCAGCTCTCGCTTTTCTTGCTTTAAAGCAAGCAAAGCCAGAGCCGCTTACATGGCTTCTCTCCTGCTTTGCGCAGCTCTCACTTTGCTTGCCCATCCCTCCTCCCGCAAGGAGGAGGAGACACCAGAACAGGTGCTTTGCTTGCTTTACAGTGAGGCAGGAAGAGGGATGGGCAAGCAAAGTGAGAGCAGTGCAAAGCGGGACAGAAGCCACATAAGCGGCTCCCGCTTTGCTTGCTCCTGTCTGTCCCTCCTCCCGCCTCGCTGCGAAACCAGCAGAGCAAGAGCCACTGACAGGCTCTGCGGCTCTTGCTCTGCTGGCTTCACAGCGAGTGACGGACGGGAGCCATGACTCCGGTTGCGGAGGCATCGCCCAGCTCATGACTACAGCGGCAGCTGAGGGATCCCTCTGCCATCCAGTGCATTCGCTCCATAAGACACACAGACATTTCCCCTTACTTTTTAGGAGGAGAAAAGTGCGTCTTATGGAGCGAAAAATACAGTATTTGGCAGGATTTGATTCTGCCTCCTGTCGCCTCTGCCGGGATGGTTGAGGGTGGGAGAGTGAAGAGATGCTCAGGATTGTGAGACTGTTCCACCGTCAAACAGCTCTTACTGTCAGAAAGTTCTTCCTTGCCTTCAGGGATCAGTTCCTGGCATCTCCCCTGCCTGAACCCCTGGAAAGCGGCTGCCAGTCCGAGCTGACAGCACACAGCTAGGTCGTCTCAAGCGAGTTTTCCTCTGTTCCTAAGATCTGGGCTCCTTGATTGGGGAGTCACAAGTTTTCCCTGGAGGAGGTTCCTTCCAAGAAGCCGCCTCTTGCGTCCTGCTGCTAAAACCTTGGCTTCTTCACACAGCTCAGTTTGTGGTTCGATGAAGAAGGCGAGTCGGCGCTGCGCGAGGCGGGGTCTGCAGCAGAGGGCAGCCGGGAGGCGGCCCAAGAGTCCCACCAGCGGTTCAAGGAATTCTTCAAAGAAGCATCGGTACGTTGGCCGAATCTTCCTGCTGCCTGCTTTGCACCGGAAACGCACACTGGGAAAACTGGGCAAGATCTGCGTCAGAAGTGTCAGGCTTCCAATATTTTTCAAAAGCATTTATTTATCTATTTTGCTGCAGTTATATTCCACCATTTTCTTCAAGGTGGGTGTCTCCCTCCTCACTTAATCCCCACAAGAACCCTGTGAGGTAGGACAGTCTGACAGGCAGCAACTGGTCCAAAAGGTCAACCAGTGAGCTTCATGGCCAAGTGGGAATTCGAACCCTGGTCTCTCTGAGATGCTAGCCCAGCCTCTAGCCACTATATCACACTGGCTGTACAATTCCATTTTAGGTGCATTATATTCTAACGTTTGATGTTTTATTATGGTCTATATTTGTTGGAAGCCGCCCAGAGTAATTGGGGCAACACAGCCAGATGGGCTGGGTATAAATAATAAAATTACGTTTATTTTTATTACGTTATTTTGAAAAGAAGAATCACAAAAGATTGAAGATAATTCTGTCAGCTATTCACTTGCCAACCTTAGAGATATGGGAGGAATGTGAATCAGTTTGCATTTAAAGGGAAACATTCCTAATTCACACTTTCCAAAATGATACGTAAACCAGAACGCAGCTACCCATTGAAACCTGCACTTCTTTGAATTTTGCAATGCAGTTCTTCACCCAAGTAATGTGCAGAAAATGCAGAAATGATGCATAAACACACATATAATAATGAAAATAAGATGCAAAAATGTGAACATAAGAACGTAAAAGGGGCTGTGCATTTTGGTGCAAATTTATCCAAATATGCACCGGTTAATATGCAATTTCTCCTTACATGCACATTTTTGCAGACTTTTTTTCTCTGTTAGAATGCCTCTGCAGTTGGAGGCAGCGATGCTTCTGAATCCCAGTTGCTGGAAACTGCAGGAGGGACGAGATCCTGCGCTCAGATGCTGCTTGCAGGCTGCCCCTAATGGGCCCCTCGTCGGCCACTGTGAGAACAGGAGGTGGGACCAGATGGGCCACTGGCCTCATCCAGCACACTCTCCTTATGTTCTTTTTTTTAAAGAATGGGAAATGTTTATTGCATATTTACAAAAGCATTGTAAGGAAGTTAATACATTAGCAGGATTTTTAAAACACTTGTAATGTTATGGATAATGTTTAAATTTGTTTTTTTTTATAAGATATTTATTAAGGTTTTTTAAAATATTACAATAGAAATGAAAAAGAAAAGAGAAAAATACAAAATAAAAACAGTTAAAAACACACATATTTTCAGTTACTTATTTTCCTATAGTTTGTTTCCCGGACCTTCTCATACCTCCCTTTTTTGTATTCCACTTCGAATTATTGGTTCAGCAAATCCTTACCATTAGATTTTAACCCATTTATAACCCTTTTTTTCATATTCTCTTAAAGCATTACAGCTAGAAACCGCTTAATTACTATCCAACATCATTCTATCATTCATTAATTTTACAATATTTCTGTAAATAGTCTTTAAATTTCTTCCAATCTTCTTCCACCGACTCTTCCCCCTGGTCTCGGATTCTGCCAGTCATTTCTGCCAATTCCATATAGTCCATCACCTTCATCTGCCATTCTTCCAAAGTGGGTAGATCTTGTGTCTTCCAATACTTTGCAATAAGTATTCTTGCGGCTGTTGTAGTATACATAAAAAAAGTTCTGTTCTTCTTTGGCACCAATTGGCCGACAATGCCCAAAAGAAAGGCCTCTGGTTTCTTCAAGAAGGTATATTTAAATACCTTTTTCAGTTCATTATATATCATTTCCCAGAAAGCCTTAATCCTTGGGCACGTCCACCAAAGGTGAAAGAATGTACCTTCAGTTTCTTTACATTTCCAGCATTTATTATCGGGCAAGTGATAGATTTTTGCAAGCTTGACTGGGGTCATGTACCACCTGTATATCATTTTCATAATATTCTCTTTTAGGGCATTACATGCCGTAAACTTCATACCTGTGGTCCATAACTGTTCCCAGTCAGCCATCATTATGTTATGTCCTACGTCTTGTGCCCATTTAATCATAGCAGATTTCACCGTTTCATCCTGAGTATTCCATTTCAACAGCAAGTTATACATTCTTGACAAATTCTTAGTTTTGGGTTCTAACAGTTCTGTTTCTAGTTTTGATTTTTCCACCTGGAAGCCAATTTTCTTATCCAAATTATATGCCTCCATTATCTGATAATAATGAAGCCAATCGCTCACTTTGTTTTTTAGTTTCTCGAAACTCTGCAATTTCAATTTATCTCCTTCTTGTTCCAAAATTTCCCAATATTTCGGCCATTTGGCCTCCATATTGAGCCTTTTCAGAGCTTTCGCTTCCATCGGTGACAACCACCTTGGGGTTTTATTTTCCAATAAATCCTTGTATCTTATCCAAACATTAAACAGTGCTTTCCTGACTCCTTATGTTCTTAAAGTCTGTCCTTCCTTCCCCTGTTAGGTCCACTACAACCGGGGTCTGTCTCTGTCCAAGGAGGCCAGCAAGGTCCAGGGGTCCAGGTTCCCAGAGACGGAGGCCTTTGAGGCAGCGAAAAGGGCTTTCCAGGCCAAGCTGACCATGTTCTACATGGAGATGGAGATGAAAGGAGCTGAGCTGGAGACACTCCTGGACCTCTACAAGTTCTGCGACAAGGTGAATGTCCCAAAAGCTGAAGGAAATGATGGAGGGAGGCTGGGTGTGTGGGTGTGTGAAGGGGACTGGAACAAGGAAGGGGGAATCTTTAAGGCAGATGGGGCCTTTGACATGGGGCGCATCTGCTACCACCACATCCCTGGTGAGAAATTATAGAAAGGATGAGAAAATGGGCCAGGATGAAGCCCTGGAAGGAGCAAGTAAGAATGGTTGTCCTGTGTTTTTGCCCCCAAGGTCACACAGTTTAACCTGGACTGCCAGCGTCACCAGGCCACTTGGATCTGCAGAGAGGAGGAGCCCAAGAGCATCCAAGCCCAGCGAGATATGGAGGATGCCCTCCAGAAGCTCTCCAGGGAGTTCTCCACTGAGACCTTCCAGCAGATGAAGGTGCAGGCCTCTAGCGTGCGCAGCAAGAGGGGTCTAGCCGTGTGGAATGAAGCCTTGGAGAGGTGCCAGGAAGCCAGGCAGCTCCTTGAAGATGCCCTTGCCAGGTTCAAGGAGGCTTGGGAAGGAGGTGCAGAAGATTCGGATCCCGTCCCAGCTACCAAACTCTCAGGAGAAGATGTCTGCTTAGATGGAGCATCAACAGAAGCCGAGAAAACAGAGCACGACAGAAGGACCCAAGATGTGGGTGGAACTGGTGTCCATGACAAGGCTTCCCAAGAGGTCCCCTCATGTGGTGGTGGGATGCTGAAGGGTGTGAAGGCCAGTGAAGAGGCCTACCTTGCTTCGTTGGATGTTATTCTGGAATGTGGGGGCCCCGAGGCTCAGGCAGACCCAGGCGAAGAAGCCCCCGGAAGCCCCCATGCGACGAGACAGGACTGCCCTCCACCGACCCTTCCCTGTGCCTCTTCCCCCAACACCAAGAAGGTGCCAGCCCCCTACGAGAGCCTCCCTTCCACCAAGCAGCCTGGCCTCTCCTTGCCCGCGAGAGGCCAACGCAGCAGGAAGAGAGAGGCGGCTCAGTACTTCCAGCTCTCCAGGCACGGGAGTTTTTCCTCTGAAGATGCAGATTCCCAAAGCTCCACTGAAGATGCTCTGAGCTCAAGTGCCACCTTGCCCATGGAATCGTCCAAAGGAGCCTGGACTCAGGAGAAGGCACCGGGGATTCTCTATCTGGAGAATCACAGCACAGGCAGCCTGACGGACACGACGGCCACCCAGTGAGACCGGGGGACCATCCTGGGTGCTGCCACGCCGGACCCTCCACACCCATTATTTTTTTGATGCTGGATACATTCCTGGGAGCTCCATTGCCCCATGTCTCAAAGGGAAAGCCTTTATTGTTGCCGTTTGTTGTTGGACATTGCTAAGAGTTCTTCCTTTTGCTGGTGTGTAGCTCTGTTTGGGCAGGAGGCTACCCACCCCCAAAGCCAGCCATCATTTCCTATTATGGCTTGCATGGAGCAGATGCGATGGAAGACGGTCGCTTTCAGGGCGGAGAGAGTCTGTCGTGTTCCCATCTCAGTCCACCAGTCCCATTAGGAACCTGGTTAGTAGCTGGCTAGCAAACCCTCCCCCTGCCCCGGGCAGGAGGCCACACTTCTTCATGGCAATACAGTCCTACTGACGCTGCATGTCCCAAAGCCGTTGTGCATTTGAACCCTCAAGTATCTGAGGGCTCTGTCCTTGCAGCCAAAGGGTGAGGGGTCAAGTCCATGCAATGACTATCGCTTAGAGTCTCACGGTGGCATTCAGGGTTGATGTTTAATACCTTGGTCCTCTGCAGAAACAGAGAGCAGAATGGAAGTTCGTACCTGGAAACATCCACCCTGAAAATATTTCCCCTCCAGCTGATTCAAGAACTGAGAGCTGTGCAAATGACTCTGCCCCTGGGACTCAGCAGCTCTCCCCAAATGTTTATTTTTGCCATTGTTAATCAAAGAACCCAAACACCCGTTCTGCAATGCTTCCCCAGACGCCCGTTCAGAGTGAAAATGAGACAGCGCTTGGGCTGGTTTCTGTGCCTCACAGAAATCCAGAGGCTGCAGAAGACCTGACAAGAAACTCCTCCTCCTTCTCCCCCTCCCCTCCTCCCCCCTTCTTCTTCTTCTTCTTCCTCCTCCTCCTCCTCCTCCTCTTCTTCTTCTTTTCCTCCTCCTCCTCCTCCTCCTCCTCCTCTATCATCTCCATCTTCTAGTGGAAAGTCCCATATTTTTCACTCTACAAGACGCACCCGACTACAAGACGCACCTAGTTTTTGGAGCAGGAAAACAAGAAAAAAAAAATTCTGAATCTCAGAAGCCAGAACAGCAAGAGGGATCACTACGCAGTGAAAGCAGCAATCCCTCTTGCTGTTCTGGCTTCTGGGATAGCTGCGCAGCCTGCATTCGCTCCATAAGACGCACACACATTTCCCCTTACTTTTTAGGAGGGAAAAAGTGAGTCTTATAGAGCGAAAAATACGGTAGCTTCAAAACCTGCAGCCAGGAACAGAAAAGTAGCCGGGGTGAAGGACCTCATCATTTGCCCTGTGGCCTATTAGCCCCCCCACAAAATGCACCCCCACAAAGCTCCTTTTCTGTTCCCACATCTTCTTCCATGCAGGTAAAGAAATAAGAAACCTGGAGCTTGAGGTGGGGAGGGGGGAATAGCCATCAGAACCAGAGCAAAGGATGGGAGGACCTCCCTGCCCCCCCCCGGCCTTCTCCTGATTCCCTGATTCCCCCCTGCAGACCGATTTCTGTGGGCCTGGCTCACCTGGGCATCCCATGCTCACCAAGGTCTCCTAGAACGGAGCGGCTCCCAACATTGGAATCACGGACTCAAGTTCATCCGTTTTGTTGAATTGATTAAACTGAATACTTATAATTGGATTTTGAATAAATGTGCAATTAACAGTTTTGAATTTTATTGTGTTCTTATCTTCCTTAGCGAGTCGTGCAAACCGCTCTTCTGAATAATGCTTTCTGTAGTGTTGGGTCGGGGGCTGGGGAGAGGCTTACAGAACTGAAGGGGCGGAGGCTCAGAAAGGTTTGGGAACCACTGTCCGAATAAACATTCTCGCTTCTGGGGGATTCATCTCCCCTCCCTGAGCTTTCACAGAGCCTGCTTATTCAGCATTCATTCCTGATTTTTTTGAAGGGAGAGTCTAGATGACATTGAGCCAAGCAAATGCTATCGGACACTGCCCAGGGGTTTCCTCATCACGTCCCTTATCGGAGAAAAAAAATGCAAGCTTTTGGAGAAACGGGCTTGTTCAAAACCTCCAGATTAACTTTGATTGTGCAACCTGGATTTGCCAGAATGTGACTGGATCTCTCCCCGCCCCCGTCCCAAAGAGGAACAGTCTGGAAAGACCCAGAGCAAGGATGTCAGAAATCCCAGCTACAAATAGCCAAAACCTTTAGACAGCAGCCTCCAGGTGGGCTATCAGGGCAAAGAGGGATGGGAGGTGGGTGGCTTTTGCAGAAAAGGACGGGGAGCAGATCTATTAGATCATCTGTTTTTTGGGGATCTGATCCCTTCTGTCTGCAACGAGGCATCCCTCAGCCGCTCTTTCTCGGTGCCAAAATTTTCTTCCCATTTCTGGAGACAAGCAGGGCTCCTTTCGTGAGAAAGGAGATCCCCCTCCCAGGCAGGGAAAGGCGCAGGAGACTTGATTTGTCCTTCAAGCTGAGAAGCAGGAGCCCAGGCAGGCTACAGCTCTGCTGCTCTGCAACACCTTGCAGGATCCAGACTGGGCCAGGGACCTCTGTATGCTTGTAGATGTGCAAAAAGGGAAACTGCAGAGTGTGTGGGAAAGAGCGGAAAGGACAAAAGTAGGGAGGCTGTCTTGAAAACTCACGCTCTATTTTAGGACTATACAGCTGCAAATATAATGTTTTAAGTGAGTTTTAGGTGCATTATACAAATGTGACACTAGATGGCGATGGTGAGCTCATGGGGAATTCAATATATTTTTCAAAACTCTTTTAAAAAAAGCATTTTCACAGTGTTTTATATATATACATATATACACGTGTGTGTGTGTGTGTGTATGTATCTAGATTCCACCTTAGAGCAATAGAATTGTGGAGTTGGGATGGCCCACAAGGGTTATTGAGTCCATCCCCCTGCATAGCCGCCAACTCTAAGGGGCCCAGGTCCCTTCAGCCCCACAATGAAATATTTGGGGGGCTGCCCCCGAATGTTGAGAACAATCAGTTGTGGAGGAGGCAAAACGTGGCACAGCTTCAGTGGTTGGTGCCTCCTCCTCCTCCTCCTGTGAAAGGGAAAGTGGTGGTGGTGGGGAAACAGCTCCGGGCCAATGGCAGTGAAGTTTGCATTGCAAAAGAATTTGGAGCAAATGATCTTAGCATAGGAAACACAGCCTATAATACCTGAGGAGATAGTACAAGTATATATAGGTAGTTTAGATGTATTCATAGTCTCAGGGCCAGATGATACTGCATCCATGAGTATTAATAGAATCTGGCAGATGTGATCTCAGAACCACTGGCAGTCATCTATGAGATTCCTGGAGAACAGGCGATGTCCGGCAGACTGGAGGAGGGCAAATGTTGCCCTATTTTCAAAACGGCAATTAGAGGACCCAAATAGTTAGCACCCAGTCAGCTCTGATGGTCTAACAGCTTAAGATCTGGAGCATGAAATTATGTCAACGCACCAACAGAGAAAATAAAATAATAATTTATTTGTCAGACATAACCTGATCTAGTTATGACAGATCACAAGCTGGTAGATGAATGGATACGCAATGAGCTCTGCCTTGACTTCAGCCAGGCATTTGACCAGGTGCACTCATGATATTCTTGTAGAAGCTGGTAAAATGCGGTCTTGACTATGCTACCACTCAGTGGATTTGCAACTGGCTGACTGATCGAGCCTAAGGGTGCTCATCAATGGTTCCTCTTCATCCTGGAGAAGAGTGACTAGTGAAGTGCCACAGGGTTCTGTCTTGGATCCGGTCTTATTCAACATCTTTATCAACGACTTGGATGATGGACTCAAAGGCATCCTGATCAAATTTGCAGATGACACCAAACTGGGAGAGGTGGCTAACACCCCAGAGGACAGGATCATACTTACAATTGACCTTGACAGATTAGAGCACTGGGCCAATAACAAACAAGATGAACTTTTAACCCGGAGAAATGCCAAGTATTGCACTTGGGCAAAACATGAGAGGCACAAATACAAGATGGGGACACCTGGCTGAGAGCAGTACATTTGAAAAGGATCTAGGAGTCTTGGTTGACCACAAACTTGACATGAGCCAACAGTGTGAGCTGCACCTAAAGCCAATGCAATTCTAGGCTGCATCAATAGGAGTATAGCATCTAGATCAAGGAAGTAATAGTGCCACTGTATTCTGCTCTGGTCAGACCTCACCTGAGTACTGTGTCCAGTTCTGGGCACCACAGTTCAAGAAGGACATTGACAATCTGGAATGTGTCCAGAGGAGAGCTATCAGAACGGTCAAGGCCTAGAAACAATGCTTTATGAGGAACGGCTAAGAGAGCTGGGCATGTTTCAGCCTGGAGAAGAGGAGGTTAAGGGGTGATATGATAGCCATGTTCAAATATATAAAGGATGTCACATAGAGGAGGAGAAAGGTTGTTTCTGCTGCTCCAGAAGCGGACACGCAGCAATGGATTCAAACTACCAGAAGAAGATTCCACCTAACCATTAGGAAGAACTTCCTGACAGTAAGAGCTGTTCGACAGTGAATTTGCTGCCAAGGTGTGGTGCGAGTCTCCTTCATTGGAGGTCTTTAAGCAGAGGCTTGACAGCCATATGTCAGGAGTGCTCTGATGGTGTTCCTGCTTGGCAGGGGGTTGGACTCGATGGCCCTTGTGGTCTCTTCCAACTCTATGATTCTATGATTCTATGATTCTGTGATGGCAGTGAAGTTTGCATTGCAAAGGATAGCTGTCTTGTTTTGCATGTTGTTATATACTGGGGGGGGGGGGAGGTCATCTTCATAAATGTACCAACCAAGCACGTACACAGATATGGGGACCACATGTCTGGAGCAGCACAGGAAGACCTTCCTAAAACCATTTTGACGCCCAAACTGACCAAATGTTTTCTCTGCAAGGAGGGAGGGGGTGGGGAAACCTTCCCATTGTCTCAGGAATTGGGAAATCACCATCTCAAAGGAATGGCCAGACTGCCAGGAAAGACAATCAGATGGGGCATTATCAGATAACCTGGCAGAACAGGAAAAACAACATTCAAATTTCTGTTGTAGACCGTCTTTTCTGTGATGTAGGTGTTATGTATGGAGAGGTGGTCTTGAGCTCCAGGGAAGGCAATTTAAAATGTCTATATAAGGGCAGGCACACCTTTGTTCTGGGTCCTCCTCCTTTCCTGCATGTGAGGGCAGCACCCTGTTGCAACAGTTTAATAAAGATCAGGCTTCCTAGCTGCTTTGCTTCTCAATATTCTCTGGTTGGCCTCTGTTCTTTTCTCCGACTGATGGAGAACCTACAAAGGACCCTATACGGGCTCTTGTGTCCCCCCAGAAAGGAATAAGGGCAGATTTTCATTTATTACAGTATTGAGCTTGGATCCTGGAACAATAGACAGGTAGGATCCTTGAATGCAACAACCTGATTGGCCGGCAGAAGGGAAGCAGACTCAGCCAATCAGACAGAACCCATTGTGTAAATGATGTACATAAAGCCTGAGGTATGTGGGGGGTGAGGATTTGACTCTCTCCCTGTTTTACAAGCTGCAATAAAGAGCATGAAATCACTACGTGACTCCATAAAAATGTGAATTGGGTGGTTTCTCATTAAACCACAAATAAAATTTAATTCCCTCCCCCATCCCTTGTGGGGTGGGGGTGTGGAAGGTGCACTTTCCACAACGTTGCTGGTATTTGTACTAAATCAGTGTGTGCAAATAGATCCCCATTTGCAAACATGAGAGTGGACTTGCAAGTGTTTGAAAGAGAAACACATTGTAAAATCTGCAGCCTTTGTGTTGCTCTGGTGTGGGGCAACCCCACATTCTTGCGCTGGGGGGGGGGAGGCATGTCAGGAAGGTGTGTCAGCTAGACCAGGCATAGGCAAACTCCAGCCCTCCAGATGTTTTGGAACTACAATTCCCATCATCCTTAGCTAACAGGACCAGTGGCCAGGGATGATGGGAATTGTAGTCTCAGAACATCTAGAGGGCCGGAGTTTGCCTATGCCTGGTCTAGCTGACACACCTTCCTGACATGCCTCCCCCCCCCCTGCAAGCACAAGAATGCGGCGGTTGTTTTCCTGTCCATGGAATGCAATAGAGGCTTTGCTTCCCCACCAAGTTCTGGCCTCCGCCCCCCCCCAAGAAGAACTGAAAGTACTGTAAAAGGTGAAAGTTCTTCCCATATATATATTGTTTTTTATTTAGAGAAAAGGAGGTTTTGCAATCCCTTCCCACATGACGGAAAGCAGAAGCTGCGGAGTGGCTTTCAGAAGGCTGTCTTCGAAACAGCAGCTGAAATCTGAGGAAGGGGGTTCCTCCAGTTCTCAGGGGGAAATCGACCCATGCCATGGCCTTCTCGGTTGTGGCCCCCTCTCTATGGAATGCATCAACTTCAGTGCTGAAGGTTGCTAAAAGACCCACCTTTTCACCCTGGCTTTGGGGACTTTGTGAGGGTGTGAACCATTTGTTTTGGGGAAGTATTTTCTACTCGTGGCTTGGCTTTATTTGTTAGGACATTTTTAATTTCCAGTGCAAATGTATTAAGGAAAAAACAGCAGGGAAAAGCCACATTCGACAGCACATTTAACTACACAAGAAAAACCACCTGAGCTTCCGTTGAAGGTCAATAGACGCCATCCAAATATCCAAATACATATCTGGATGAAGCTGGTGTTTATAAAAAGTGTGCCAAACGTAGCAAGGGCGTTCAGGTCTTCAGAACATTGTATAATAGGCTCCAAGTTTCTTATGTGACCCTAAGGGCTCAGAGAGGCTGCTGGCAGCTGCTCACAACCTTGGGATGCCCTCCCCAGAGAATAATAATAATAATAATAATAATAATAATTTATTTATACCCCACCCATCTGGCTGGGTTTCCCCAGCACCCTACGCAGCTTCCAACAGAACACTAGACTGGCTCCTTCTTTGTTGTCCTTCGGCCCAGCAGGCGTTGTGAACTGAATGGGGTGTCGTTTTTTTTAAAGGAAGGGGCTTTTAAACAACGCTGTTTTTATTATCTGTATTTTAATAGATTTGTGTTTTTTTATATTGTTTTATTTCTGTTAGAGTTTGATCACCCTTTAACGATGATCTTTTACACATTTTTAGTATTTTATTTGAGGCTGTTTTAATTTGTGTAAGCTGCCTTGTGTCCTGATCTGGGGGAAAGGTAGGATGTTAATGATAATTGTAAACACGCTACGTAAATGGATCATCTGAATGAGGAGCCCTTTTAAGGGTTTTGGGGGGGGCAGTGATCACCTCCAGCTTGGATGGATTTAAAAGATCCATGGAGGAGCAGACAGCTATTGATGCCTATTAGCCACAATCTTCTTCTTCTTCTTCTTCTTCTTCTTCTTCTTCTTCTTCTTCTTCTTCTTCTTCTTCTTCTTCTGCGATCACTCATAGCTGAGTAAGATTGTCTTCCATGAACACGGTTTTAACAATGAGTCCGTAAGTGACTGTGGAGGCCAATTCTGAATCCACACGTCCTTCCACAGTGGGGACACTGGTTTCCAGGCGGGAGTTGATCCCGGTGTGGATTTGCCAAGCGTGCCTTCCTCTTGGCACGTTTCTCCCTTGCGTCCTGAGTTTGAGTGTCTTCAAAGCCCAGGACACCTTTGATAAAGGCTGTTCTCCAATTGGAGCTGCATTCTGCCTGCCATAGCTGAAGGGAGGCAAAAGTACTTGCAAACACCAGTTGCTGGAAACCATAGTTTCTGCTTGCAGGTTTCCCATACTGGGCACCTAGTTGGCCACTGTGAGAACAGGATGCTGGACTAGATGGGCCTGATCCAGCAGACCCTCTTCTTATGTTCTTGAGGTCCAGGAGCAGCTCTGCTTTTGAAGCCAAGCCCTGGAGCCTGGCATGCCCGTCACAAGCCAAACAGCGAGAGCATCCACATGATGCAGGATCCGTCCCATGCCTCGTGAGTCACAGAGCACGCAGCCCTGAGTCTCAGCTCCCGTGTCTGGTCCGGCCCCTGGCAAAGAAAGCCTCCATGCACGCCCAGCCCACAAAATCCACAAACCCCACCCGGAACCTTGTCTGCAGATTGTGCAACAGGGGAAAAACCTTCTTGAGGAAATACAAATATAGCTTTCTGGTCCCTCTGCTTCTGCCTGCTCACTCTCACTTCCGCTTTCCTCTCAGCTAAATGCAGAGGGGTTCGTAGCTGCAGAGTCCCTGGGCAGAAGGATCTGAGGGGGTTCGGGCTGCAGCAAGGATGTCCAAGGCGAGAAACCTCCTCCTGGCTTCTCTGCTGCTCTGTCTTCACTACAGTCCTCTCTCCGGGGCCACAGGACCGGGCTTTGTGGGCAGAATCACGGACAAAGGCCTGGACTATGGTGGGTGCCTTTTATTCCCCATTCTGACCCCCCCTCCACCCCACCCAGCCTGCAGGGTCATGTCATGATTGAAGAGCCAGGAGGTCTGGAGTCTCTCAGCCTAACCGGCCTCTCAGGGTTGTTGTTGAGGATAAAACAGGGAGGAGGAGACTCACTCTGAGTGCCTGGAAGGAAAAGCGGGATCAAAACGTCATCAATAAAATAAATAGTGTGTACAGTTCTGGTTGCCTCACGTCAAAATGGATATTGTAGATTTGGAAAAGCTTCAGGAAAGGGCCACCGAAATGACGAGGGGAAGGGAGGAAAGGCTGAAGCACTTGGGACTTTTCTCTAAACCGAAGACAAGCAAGAGTTGATAGAAGTTTATACAACGATGCTTGACGCAGAGAAAGTGGAAAAGATTCTCTCTCTGTGTGTCTCTCTCATAACTCTAGAATCCGTGGACATCCCATGGAGCTGAAATGTTGGAAGATTCAGGACAGACAAATGAAAGCACTTCCATAGTTAACCTACGGAACTCCCTCCCACAGGATGCAGTGATGGGCACTGACCTAGACGGCTTTAAAAGAGGATTAGGCAAATTCACGCAGCGGGGAGTAATCTGGGGCTGCTGCCTCTGCTCTGCTTCCACGCTCAGAGGGACTAATGTTCCTGCAGGAGGGAGTTCCATAGTTTAACTCCGTGCTGTGAGCTGCGCTCTAAAACATCAAGAGGGCACCAGGTTGGTGAAAGGTGGCAAGTTAGGTGGGTTTGAAACAATAAATCTGTTGCTTTCTCTATTTTGGGGGGCAGACCTACAGAAGTAGGAAGGGGCTGCTTTGCACCATCCTGATCCCTGCCAGTTCTGCTCTCCCAGACAGCATGAGGGCGTGGGCTGTCCGCCTGGGTCACTGCTTTTGCCTGCAGGAACGAGAGTTTCCTGCTGACAGTGTGGGGCTCTGTTTGACTGCTGGCTGAGTGGATACAGCTGGGGAGGTGGTCCAGGGTCCACACTTTCTTTCTTGGGTCTCTGCCCACCTGACTGCTTCAATCCGTGGAACACATGCAGTTAAATGGGCCACATCACCCCCATTCCACATTTGTAAGCAGGCAATCTTTCTGTGTGGCAGCACCTAACCTTTGGAACTCCCTGCAGGCGCTTTCACTGCACTCTTTTTGGTACTCTTACTGTACTCTTTTTGGTACTGTACTCTTTTATCACTCTTTTTGGTGTGTGGTAAAAATGTTTTGGTTTAGATAAGTCTGTCCAGGGATGTAGAATTTCTGATGTATGTTTTAATAATTTTTTTAATTGAAAATTTTATTTACAACATAACATAACATACCCCCCCAGTACAGAAAGACAATAAACATAACATACAACAACACAAACAACCAAATAAAAGACTTCCTTTATCCTGTATCTGTCCTCCTTATTTACTTCTTATAGGTTGTTCCTTTATGAATAACTATTAAGATTTTTCTAATTATAACTTAAATATCCACAAAGCCTCCTGCTCTTTCTGATGTATGTTTTATGTTTTATTTTTTTATTTTATTTTATTTTTTGGCTGGGTACAAGTACGGCGCTTCTCGGTTTTATTTATTTTAATGATATTTATTGAAATTTTTTTAAATTACAGAGAAAAAACAAAGCAGAAAAGGGGGAAAAAAAGAAACAAAGAAAAAACAAACCACATCAAACAATACAAATTCAAAAAACAAAAATACGCCGCAAACAGACAATAACAACTCCATCATTCTCAAATCCTCAACTTTCATTACCTTCTTTCTTTGACCTCCTCCTCCTCCCTTTTTTTGTATCCTAGTTAATAATTATCGCAGCAAATCCTTTCCATATTTCATAATATTCTGTCATTACATTGCTTTAATCTATTTTCATCTTATCTTATAGAAAACCTTAAAAACTTAAAACTTAAATCTTATTTTTACCGACTTCTCACAACCATAATATTCTTACCTAATTCTTTAAACATTTTTACTAGAGCCAAGTAATTTCCTTCCAGCATTTTTCTAACATTCATCAATTTTATAAAACAATCCTGGTAATAAAAAAAAGAGATAAAAATAATCGAGTCTTCCACCAGCGTCCCTTCCTCCTGGTCCCGGGTTTTGTCAGTCCTTTTTATCCCATCGATCCCATCGATCTAGCGCATTAACCTGGTAACCTTATATCCGAGGCCCTTAAATCTCTTCCATGTCCCTTCCGCAGCTCTTCTTCATATTCTCCTTTCACTCGTGGGAACTCCAGCTTGGTGATGTTTTTGACCCTTTTCAGCAAATCAGCCCCTTTTCCATAGTCCAGACTCAACTCCATATGGTATTTAAAAACATGTTTCAGAATCCCTCCAAAACTGAGAGCCCCCACAGCTCCAAACATCTCACGGCCCATTGCCAGACTCGGAAAGTCCAAACATCCCTGCGTAGGGGGGTCTATCCAACCCCCCATTTCCAAACCAATCCAAACTTTATCTTTCCAAATCTGGCTTTTTCCAAGTTCATTTGTCAAGTCCAAAAGCTCCTGCTCCTGCAAGGCCGCAGCTCCCTCCATCTCTGGCGCCCAAGATTCAGCAACATCCTCTTCTCTCATCTGCTCTGTCAGGACGCACTCCTGTTCTAATTCCTGGGTGGGCTCCACATAGTTTCCCACTGCCTGTTCAAAATTTCTGGCCGCATTAGTCATCAAATCCATCTTCTCATTTAACTGTTCCAGTAGGGCACTTGTTTTCCAGAGAGCACACAACAGAGCCTCTGAATACATTGTCCTACAAGGTCACAAGTCCATTCCCACGATTGTAATCTGTGACAGCTGCAAGCTCCCTGGAATTAGTTATAGTTTCACAGTCTCCCTCTAGGGGGAGAACTTCTATTTGTTCTTGCAACAAAGTATCCTTTTTGAGATATTTTGTCAATATTTGACACCCCGCTCCAGGATCAGGACGGTGGAAAGTTACTTTACTTTAAACTCACTTCTGCAGGTTTAAACAGTCCGAAAAAGATCCCCCTTCTTCTCCTGCTGTCAAAGGGGGGTTCCACAATTTTAAATGATGAAATCCAATCCTTTAGAGGCGATTTTCTGAGCTCTAGTTTACATTGTCTTTGCTTTATTCTGTCTACAAATAAACGGAAGGCTGACTTCCTGTTTAGACCTTCCCGTTTCAGTACCAAATTGAAGTAAATTTTTAAGTCCAATTCCTTTCTGCACGCAAGTCCTTATTTAAAGTCCGATTGTTCAAATTTTAAGTACTCACGGGTGCTTATTTTAGAAGCCAAATTGTCCCAGGAAAAAGGCAGCGCTCTCCGGCAACGGCTATGCGGCTTCACTCCACGGAAATAGCAGTTGACTCACAGCACCGCGCCACTTCCCCCTCTTCACTTCGGAGCCCGTTAGTGGGTTCCTTTGCGGGTTGGGGGGGCGCTAAGGGTGCCTGCCGAGTCCCATGGTCACAGGCTTCATCCGCCTGTGATTTTTAGCAGGGTCCCCGCTTCGCCGTAGCGGAAAAGACCTGTTTCACGCAGAGCTAGTCCCTCCAGTTCAGAGGGAGTCCGCCATTGTCGATGGCGCCACCCCGGAAGTCCTGATGTATGTTTTAATCTGTTTTTAGTTTACTGCTGATTTTCCTTTTCAAATGTTTGAAAGAGCTGTTTTCGATGATAATGGTATTGTTTTATTGTCACTCGCTCCGAGATGTTTGGCTTTTTTACACTAAATAAAGCCATTGCTTTGACCCAAAAAAGGGCCCAAAAAAGGCAAATCGGTTCCTTCAAGAGGGATGCAAACAGTCTGACGCCAACCTTTTCTCTCCTTTGCTTCAGCTCGCCAGGAGGGGGTGGCAGCCTTGCAGCAGAAACTGGCACAGCTGACTCTGCCCGACTTCTCTGGATCCTTCAGAGTTAAAGTTATTGGGAAAGTGGACTACAAACTCTACAGGTGAGGCCACCACAGACTGGAAGAGACTACAATAATAGGTTCTGGAGAAGATGGTTTCTGCCCCGGGCAAGGTGCAGTTGGGGTGTCTTGTGGAGACAACTCAAATGAAGTTGGGAGGGATAAAATTTCTTTTTGGGGGGCAGTAAGAGACTTGAATAAGTAGATTAATAACTTGAGAATGAGCAGGGGGGCTCATTTCTAAGATGGGTTAGTCCTTCCCACCCCAAAAAGCTCAGGGTCCACCACAGCTTCTCCTGCACAGCCTCATTCAACAGCACATCACCCAGCTATGTTGGTGTCAACTCCCTGGGGCCCTGGGTGCCCATGAAGGGACCGGGCACCCACAAATCTTGGTGCCAGGGTCATGCATATTGCTTGGCACCCATGGCCCCGGGCACCCACAGTTGCAGGGCCAAGCTGGCACTCCTGCCCAGCCAGGGCCAAACTCATCTTGTGTGATTCACAGGCGTGAACGTTCTGGACGCCTCTTTGCTTTGGATAAAGGGTTGTTTTGGGGCTCACATTAAGATCTAGAGTTCCAAAGCAAAGGCCATTGAATCGCTGTGCTGTAGACTTGGAGGGAACTCCAAAGGTCATCTAGGCCAACCCCCTGCAAGGCAGAGATCTCAACTAAAGCATCCATGGCAGGTGGTCATCCAACCTCCAAGGAAGGAGAGTCTACTGTCAGGAGCTCGGCCTACACTTGAGTAGGACCCTGGCAGAGACACATGCCCAACTGGCATATTCTCTCCCTCCTGGTCGATCGTTCGGGAGCTTCAAAAGCTTTCTTCAGCCCAAACATCACAGCGATCGATGCCAACCGACATCGACACACTTAGGGATCTGCAAAGACTTCGCAGTTTGCATAACAAACCTCAGCAACTCAGCATTTTGGCTAATCTACTTTATTTACACATGGAGCACTGCAACATGGTTCCCTCTCTCTCTAGCATCAGACAGCAAAGAGAAAGAGGACAAAGGACAATAGTCCCACTTTATGGAACACAGTAACACAAACATCCTGTCTTCTTCACTTCCCACTCTGTGGAGTCAAAACATACACCGTCATGTGAAAGACAACAATCCCATGACTGCAGTCACGGAGCAGGAATTCTAACATCTACAACCTCCTGAGGGAGATCATTCCACTGTCCAACTGGTCTTACTGCCAGAAAGCTTTTCCGAATGTTTAGTCGGAATCTCCCTTCTGGTAACTTGAAGCCCTTGGCTCAGGTCCTATCCTCCAGAGCAGGAGAAGACCAGCTTGCTCCATCTTCCATGGGACACCCCTTCAGATATTTAAAGATATCTCCGCTCAGTATCCTCTTTTCCAGGCTAAATATATCCAACTCCCTCAACCATTCCTCATAAGGCTTGGTTTCCAGACCCTTGATTTTATGATTATTATTTATTAAATTTGTATACCAACCTTCATCCATAGCTCTCAGGGTGGTTCACAACATAAAAATACAAAATATATAATAAAAACAAGAATAAAGGCAAACTAATAACCCCACACTCCCCCACCTGCCACCCCCATCTTGGTTGCCCTCCTCTGCACACCTTCCAGTTTGTCAACATTTTGGGTCCCAGAATTGGACACAGTATTCCAGGTGTGGTCTGAGCAGGTCTGAGCAGGGCAGAATAGAGAGGGACTATGACTTCTCTTGAGCTGGACACTAGGCTTCAGTTGATGCAACCTAGAATTGCATTCACATTTTTTGCTATTGCATCCATCACACGGTTGACTCATGTGAAACTTGTGGTCTACTAAGACCCCTTGATCCTTTTCGCACGTACTGCTGTCACGAGCAAGCCCCTTATTTGAATCAGGCGAATCCACCCTCTCCATTGCATTGCTGATTTCCCCAAACCAATGACCTTCTCCTTCCTTTTTCTCCTGCAGCTTGAACGTTCGCAGTTTCCAGTTGCCAAGCTCCGCTATAGCACCGGTCCCAGGCATGGGCCTCAAGGTCTCCATCACCAATGCCTTTGCCGAAGTGACGGGCGACTGGTCGGTGAAGAAGCGCTGGTTGTGAGTCCATCGTTGCCTCTTAGCTTTGGGTCACTTAGAGGCAGTGGGGAGGAATTCGATTCAGTTCACATGGGAAGGCACATTCACCAAATCTCGCTGTCTGAAACAATACGCAGAGCGAAACAGAGCCGCCCCTGGAAATTCTCCCTTTCCTGAATTGGTTATCCTGCTCCTCATTTAATCCCCACAAGAACCCCGTAAGGTAGGCTAGACTGAGAGAAACAGTGACTAGGCAGCTCAAGGTTACCGGGTGAGGATTTGAACCCTGGTCTCCTGGGTTCAAATACTCTAACCACTGCACCAAATCCTTTGTTCTGTTGTCTTTCCAAATAGCAAGGACCACGGCTCATTTGACCTGAAGGTTGAGGGCATCTCCATCTCCTTAGGCTTGAAGCTGGGGGCAGATGCTGCTGGGAGGCCGACGGTGGGCACAGCAGATTGCGCCGCTCACATCTCCGATGTCAAAGTGCACTTTTCAGGCAGGTTGAGGTAGGTGGTTGTCCGTTGCCCTGCAGCTTCACTTGGAATGCTACCCTGCTTGCTGTCGACACAAGCCTCCCCTTTGCTACCTCTAATAATAATAATAATAATAATAATAATAATAATAATTTATTATTTAGACACCGGCCACTGGTTGGGCTTCCCCAGCCACTCTGGGCAGCTTCCAACAAAATATTAAAATACAGTAATGCATCAAACATTAAAAGCTTCCCTGAATAGGGCTGCCTTCAGATGTCTTCTAAATGTCTGCTAGTTGTTCTTCTCTTTGACATCTGGGGGAGGGTGTTCCACAGTGCGGGTGCCACTACCGAGAAGGCCCCCTGCCTGGTTCTCTGTAATGTTGCTTCTCGCAGGGAGGGAACCGCCAGAAGGCCCTCAGAGCTGGACCTCAGAGTCCGGGCAGAACGATGGGGGTGGAGACAGGACCAAGGCCGTTTAGGGCTTTCAAGGTCAACACCAACACTTTGAATTGTGCTCAGAAACGTACTCGGAAATGATGCCCAAACCAAGTGTCCCTGTGCTGAGGGCCAGCTCCCCTTTTCCATCAGTCATTTTGAAAACTCATTGCATTCATCCATCTCGAAAAGGAACCAGCCCCTAACTTAACATCAGCATAGTATCTGTCATTGTATCGTGTGGTCTTTCATATCTGTTTGGCACCCCTGTGAACCCCATTGGCAAGATCGCTGCGCGATCAACCTTCAGCAGCCACAACCTTTGCAACCTCCAGTCAAGCATAGAATTGCAGAGCCGGAAGGGACCCCCTAAAGTCATCTAGTCCAGCCCCCTGCATTGCAAGAAGCACTTCCTCCCCTCTTGCTTCTTCAGAACACCTAAAGCTGCTCTTAGTTTCTGGGATCTTCAAGGGGGAAAGTAGTGCAAGCACTTTAGGAAATAAAAGCTTTTTACCTTATTGACATTGATCCTCCCATTCTTCTCTCGCCATCGCAGCTGGCTGTACAACCTCTTCCACAAAAACATCGAGTCGTCGTTCAGAAATACCATGGAAGGCAAGGTAAAGCCTTCACAGGATTTCCAAGGGCTCCTTCCCAGTTCCTTTCTCGCTTTCCGCAGTTTCTCAAATGAATGGGACCCCTGCGTGGGTGCACCTTTAAACCCTGCCTTCCAGCCCAGAAGTTGCTCCCTCTAAAAAGTCGGGTTTTGCAGGAGCTGGCTGCTGCTCTGCAAGAGGGAATGGCACTCTGCACATGCTCAGAAGCAGGAGTTCACCCGGCAGCGCTCAGATTGGCGTCCTAGGAGACCAACAGCAATAGCAAAAGCAAGCTTTTGGAAGTACATTGCTGTTGTTAGGAAACACTTGGTGCCTCCCTTGCTCTTGGGCCCTCAGCCCATGTTCTGGCTTGTTCCTAGCCTGGTTCTCTAGCCTCCTCCTGTTTCTGACTCAACGGCTTGCATGCGCACTGGGGGTGGTGGAGTGGGGGCCAAATACTTGGAAGGAAAGGCTGAGCGTGCGGAATCTGCTGCTGCGGCTCCAAAGCACGCTCCGTGTTCGCTGCAAAATTCACACATGGCATTGCAAACCTCCTGTGGCATCACTTGGACTTGAAGGAACCGCTTCCCCTTAAGGAAGGTTTTGTTTGCTTCTGAATTCAGTAGCCCCACAAACAGACCCAGGACTTCAGCATTCTTTTTCATTATATATATATATTCATTTTAATACATCAAACACAAAAAAGAAATATAGAAGTAAACAAATATCCATCACCTCTTAGCAACTAAAAAGGAAAAAAAGAAATATTACAACAATAATACATTAAATAGTTCTCACAATACATTTGACATAAACATGACTTTTTTCTATATAACTGACTTCCCGTCTACTCCTTACTTCTATTTCTCATCAATTATTCACTGCCATATTATAACATGTTTTGGTTTTGAGAATTTATTCTATCCTAGGTTTTCCATCAGACTTAAAACTCCTACTGAAGTTATTCAAATGCTGCTACAGACTTTAAGCTGTCATTACTATTTTTCAGATAAATTTTAAAGATTTTCCATTTTGAGATAAATACTTCCTTTGATTTATTTTTTATTCTTTCTGATAAATCATCTAATTCCACATATTCAATCATTTTTTGAGTCCACTCTGATCTAGAAGGGACTTTGTTGCTTTTCCAATTTGTCGCAATAAGTATTTTTTAGGGATATCCGAATCTGTGATTCCCAGTAGGTAAACTTCTGGTTTTTTGCTGAAAGATATTTTAAACATTTTTCCCCAGGACTTCAGCATTCAAATGCGCTTTGAGCCGAAAAGACGTGGGGTTTTTTGTGTGCCTTGGGTGTTAGGAATTAGCTTCCTTCGATTTCACAGGCCTTTGCGAGCTTAATTTAGCCAAGCATGCCCTTGGGAACAATGGGCTCTCCTGTTCTCCACAAAAGGCAGCAGCAGGGGAGCCCTGCGCCAAGCCTTGTCGACAAGCCGCTTTCGGTAATTGCTACATGGCTGCCTGGCACCAACTGCTGTGTCCGAGGGTGGAGAAAGGAATGACCGAGTCTCCCTGCAGGGAGGACCCTGGAAAGTCCAGCCCCATCGCAGACACCTGATTTTAGCTTAGAGTCCTGCATTGCAGAGGTTTGGACTAGATGAGTCTTGGGGTCCGTTCCAGCTCTGAAATTCTATAACTCTGTGTCTAAGGCCTATGGAGCAGAGCCTTTGTGGAATCATAGAATGGTAGAGCTGGTAGCGAAGTGTTTTTTCCTTCTTCTCATGGGGACATAAGCAGAGCCTTCTGTACCCATCCCAAAAGGCCCAGCGATTCCTAGAACCATGGAATTGTTGAGTGGGAAGGGATCTCCCAAGGGTCCTCAAGCCCAACTCTCTGCAGTGCAGAAGACCATCATACCCATAATATGCCTCTGGTGTGCATTGTCCAAAACTGCATTGATAAACCCCTGGGCCAGATGTGGGTAAACAATGGCAGGAGGAGACCGGGGGCCGCAAGTGAGGCTCAGTGGAGATCACCATTCACAGTTGCTTGTGCCCCACATCTAGCACCAGTACTCCAAGATAGACCACACTTGGGAATGGAGGTTCTGCTAGTTTCAGAGCCAAGCAACGAGCCCATGGACACATGGGGCTCCTGCCAAGGAGTACGTAAGTCGTCCTTATGGCCTTTCTTCTCTTCCCCCCAGGTCTGTGAAGAAGTGAGCAGTTCCATTGGCTCCAAACTGCAGCCTTTCCTGCAAACCCTGCCAGGTAAGAACAATGATGGTGGAAGCCGGTGACAAGCTGGATCCCATCAGGGGGAAAGAGCTCCTTCTAAGCAATGCCTAGGGACACAGGTGGCGCTGTGGGTTAAACCACAGAGCCTAGGGCTTGCCAATTGGAAGGTCGGCGGTTCGAATCCTTGCGACGGGATGAGCTCCCGTTGCTCAGTCCCTGCTGCTGCCCACCTAGCAGTTCGAAAGCACATCCAAGTGCAAGTAGATAAATAGGTACCACTCTGGCAGGAAGGTAAACGGTGTTTCTGTGCGCTGCTCTGGTTCGCCAGAAGCGGCTTAGTGCTGCTGGCGACATGACCCAGAAGCTGGACGCCGGCTCCCTCGGCCAGTAAAGCGAGATGAGCGCCGCAACCTCAGAGTCGGCCACGACTGGACCTAACGGTCAGGGGTCCCTTTACCTTTAAGCAATGCCTGCTTTATTCCTGCATTGCAGGAGGCCGGACTATATTCCCCTCGTGGCCCCTTCCAACTCTACTATTTTATGATTCTATGAAGTGAGACCCCAACTTTGGCCCAGCCAGAGTATCTGGCCTTAAACAGAACCCACAATCTGGAGGATTTGGGAGACCAAAATGCTCTCAGTTAATATTTGGCTAATATTCATTCTGTAACACAAGTTGTCAGTAGGGCAATGGGAGATTTCTTTCTAAGCCAAACGTAGAGGATAGAGGAGGAAGAAGACTTACATAAACCTCACATCTTTTATACGTACAGATGCAGATTAAATTTTCTAGAGATAATTACTCTAAACATAGCTGTCAACTTTTCCCTTTTCTTGTGAGGAATCCTATTCGGAATAAGGGAATTTCCCTTTTAAACAGGGAAATGTTGACAGCTATGATCTAAATGTAAATAGATATACAATCCAGCTCAGTCTAGTAGGGAAGTCTGTGACCAGCTGATCCGTAGGTTTGCTCAGTCTGCAGTCTAAAATGCTTCTGGGCCCCTGCATACCTTGGCATAATGTGGGCTTATTCATTTATACACTGTTTGATTGTCAAAAAGCAAACAAACCTCAAAGCGGTTTGCAAAAAAAAAAAGAGATTTTTGAAAAATAGCAGCAATAATTTAAAATGGTTAAAAATAGCAATAGACTCAAACCAGTTTAAAACTCACATCCACTTTCTAACCATCCCGGTGGGCTTGTCTAAATAAATGTGTTTTTAGCAGGTGCCAAAAAGAGTAGAGGCCGGATGTCAGGTGGCAGGGAGTTCTGCCTACTTTAGAAAAATTCATGCAGGGGGTGAGGGCAGCCATGCTTCTGAAGAGCAGTTGCTGTTATGCTCACTTTCTGCTTGCTGGTTTCCTGTGGAGGAATCTAGTGGATCCCTCTGAGAATAGGATGCGGGACCAAATGGGCCATTGGCCTGATTGTCCCGATCCACCGGCCCAAAGGTGGGCTCGTGGGAGTGGTTTGATGAAGGTATACCCAAGAAGGATTTCAAAGACACCTGAGTGATCAGTTCTAGTGATTTATTACATATGGTAAGTCAGCCTGCTGGGCCTCGCTGCCATTACGGACATGGGACAGACCCCGCAGCAGTGAGAGGTTGCCATGGCTTGTCCGTACCCAAGCAAACATTTAGGCATCCTTTATGCACAAAGCAGCAGAGCCCAGTTTGCTTCTGCCCTCTCTGGGCCCAGAGCCCAGCATCCCAAGGCCCTCAGATAAGCACAGCATCAAAGCAAACCCATTAGCATAGATCAAAGCAAGGAAACATATCTGAGCTCATTCTTGCAACAACTACCAATTCTTTTTTGGGTTACCTAGACTACCAAGATGGAGCTTGCACTTTGCTTCAACACACCAATCCAGCAGGGTTCTGATTATGAGAACTGTGGTACCTTGGGTTACAGACGCTTCAGGTTACAGACGCTTCAGGTTACAGACTCTGCTAACCCAGAAATAGTACCTCGGGTTAAGAACTTTGCTTCAGGATGAGAACGGAAATCGCACGGCAGCAGCGGGAAGCCCCATTAGCTAAAGTAGTACCTCAGGTTAAGAACAGTTTCAGGTTAAGAAAGGACCTCCTGAACGAATTACCGAGGTACCACTGTACTGTATTATAGAAATTGGCACTAAAATGCTGATGAGCTTTTCTTTCTTTCTGGGGGTACAACAAACAAAACCAAAAGCATAATCTGATGTGCAAATGCAGAGAACTGGATTCAAGACTGGGAAAATGAGAGACTGAAATGGACACCTTTGTCCGACGCTGCTTTGTCGCCATCTCGCCCCAGCTCCTCGATTTGTCCTGTTTTTTTTCCTAGTCACGGCTAGAATTGACAAGGTGTCTGGGATCGATTACTCTCTGGTTGCTCCTCCTGTGGCTTCACAGAATTCCCTAGACTTGGACCTGAAGGTAGGGAAAAGGAGGGAGGGAGGGGGAGGTTTATGGATCGTGTCCAGTTTTCCCTCCCGGAGGCCTCCTGTGCTGCGGGCATCTTCCTGGTGGGAAGACGCTTGCCTGTCGCTTCCCTTCGTCTCTTCCTAAAACACTTACCTGAGATTCCTGTATTGCAGGGGGTTGGACCAGAAGAAGCGAAGGGCTCCATCCAGCCCTACAGTTCTGTGATTCTAGGAAGGAGAAAAGAAACAGGCTGAGTCCCCTTCATTCGCATTCTGTCCTAGGAATGGCTTCCCATTTTTCGCATTTCCTCTCCCACCAGGGTGAATTCTTCTCCCTCGCCCATCGCTCTGCTCCTCCTTTCACACCACCAGCCCTCGCTTTCCCGGTGGATCAGGACCGCATGCTTTATTTCGGGATCTCCACTTACTTCTTCAACACCGCAGGCCTTGTATACTACGGAGCAGGGGAGATGAACTTCTTCATCACAGACGACATGGTAAGGAGGGCTGGGGAGCCCAAGTTTGCAGAGCTGGCTTTACCAGGGGGTGGATCACGCTGCAATCCCCTACAGTGGCTCTTGAGTAGCTCCCTTTGATAGTGAGATCAGGATGTGGAACTAGATGGGCCATTGGCTTGGTGCAGCAGGCTTTTCTCATCTCCTCAATGCTGCCGACATGTTTTTCTACCAATAAGACGACAGGAGCCTGTTGATGGCCCACAATGGAAGCCTGGCTTTGATGGGAGGTTCTGGGCTGAGTTTCCAGCTAAAACCCAGCAGGAGAACAAGACGAAGGTTTAAAGGGGCTGTTCTTTCTAACCTCTGCTTTCCCAAGTCATAGTATATTGTCCTATCTCTCCATCCCCAACATGCCTCTTCTCCCCTGCGCAGGTTCCGAAGGAGTTTAAAGTCCGGCTCAACACCACATGCTTCAAGGCCTTTGTTCCACAGGTGAGCAGCTGGGGTATCAGTTACGGGAGAAGATGGGTCCACTTGGACCTGATCCAGCAGCCAGGCTCTACTGAGATTCTCATGCAGCCTTTGCTCTCCACACCCAGTTGGAAAAGCTGTACCCCAACATGCTCATGAAGCTCCAAGTCTCACCTTCTTCTGCCCCGTCTCTGACCATCACACCTGACGCCATTTCGCTGTCCCCGGTGGTCGACATCAGAGCATTTGCCATCCTCCCCAACGCTTCCTTGGCCTCACTCTTTGTGATTGGTGCGGTAAGTTCAGGACACACCTTGAGTCTTGGTGCTGCCCATGATCAAGAGGGTAGGTATTTTGTGCCCCTTCCAGTCTGCCCATTGCCCTAAGCCTCCTCTTCCACCTTCATCAGAGATTTGTCGATTGTGGGTGCTCATTTCTGCCTCTTCCCTTCCTTATTCCCAGATATTTTTCTTTCTGAATGTTATACATTCCCCTCAGCTTTACTAACAGATGCGTTTTCTCAAAGAGATCTTCCTTCTCCTTCTCCTTCTCCTTCTCCTCCTTCCTTCCTTGCTTCCTTCCCTTCTTCCCTTCTCTTTTTTTGTTGTTGCAAATTTCCCCAATGATTAAAAGAATTCCAAATCTTCATATGTATAGATTTCACATGATGTAAACTTTTTCTGATCTCTTTGCAAAGCACATTCAACCTGCTTCTCTTTGATTTCAGTCAACCACCATTTCAGCCAAAGTTTCTGTTAACTCCACCAAGATCTTTGGGTCCCTCAAGCTTGGCAAGTAAGAAACAACAAATGTGCTTTACCATTTTAATACCACCCCAAAAGTTTTTTGCTTGATTAGAAGCTACCACAAAAGGTCCTAGAACAGATAATTCAGCAGTCAGTCTGAGGGCACTTAGAAAGGGATGCTGTGATTACTAAGACCCAGCATGGTGTTCTCAAACACAAGTCATGCCAGATGAATTTCATTTCCCTTTTTGATAGAGTTACAAGCTTGATGGATCAGGGGAATGCTGTGGACATAGCATATCTTTGTTTCAGTAAGGGGGTTGGACTAGATGACCCTGGGATTCCTTCCAACTCTACGATTCTATAATTCAAATCTCATTGTTTGGCTATTATCCAGGAAAAAACCATCTTGACTTTATTTCGTAGAGTCATAGAATTACAGAGTTGCAAGGGACCCTGGGGGTCATCCCCTGCAATGCATATTTATTTATTTCATAAAATTTATACAGTATACCACTTGATTGTAGGGAAAAAACCCTCAAAGCAGTTTACAGAGAAGTTAAAACAATAAAAATATTTTTTTAAAAACCCAACAACACTTTAAAACATACAGAAAGTTAAAACCACAGTATAGATTTAAACCCATAAAACTTTCTAAGCCCCTTAGAAGGCTTGTCTACACAAGAATGTTTTTAGCAGGCATTTCAAGTGGCAGGGAGTTCCAAAGGGTCAGTGCTGCCACACCGAATGCTTGCTTACCTTGCACTGCAAACTGTGGGAGACGAGATCTGGGTTCTACTACACTTTCCAATTTATTTCTATCGGACCTTTTGGCCGAAAAGGTGCTCCCCTGCACCAAGGCAGCCCCAAAGGGCATGCAGAAAGAGGAGTGCAGAAAAGAGTTATCAGCCATGACCCTGTGGCTTGTTCCACTGACTTACCGTAGCTCAGCAAGTCAATAAGGTATATTGTCGTCATAAGGCATAAAACCCCCATTGCTCTCTCTTCCCCCCCATATCCTCATATAGGTTGCAGCTGTCTCTGAAGCACTCGGACGTCGGGCCTTTCTCAGTAAGATCTTTTTCGTTCCCTAAATTGCTTGATCCCGTGACCTTAAGTGACCCCTGAGGATTCCATGGTCACAGCTAGAGGTTCAAGCTCTCAACGTGCACACTCAGCGGCCAGAGGCTCTCCTGCCTTTTTCTCAGAGCCCATTCTTGCCAATACCCTCCCTGAAAGATTTGGTGCCATCTCAGTGGGCAAACCTATCAATCTCAGCTTCTCACTCCTGCAGTCTTAAGTTTAGTTCCCCCCTTTTACACATCAGTTTTTGGCATTTATTTTATTTGTCCTCATGAAGATTTACCAACTTCTCCTTGCATGTAACTCCTAATATACATATTATTGGCATTCAATTTTCTCAAACGTCATGCATTTTTTTTCTATTTTATTTTTACTCAAGTACATGCAAACCTCTAAGCATGTGGTTTCTTTGTAGACATTACTTGCCTGGAGAACACCGCTGCAAAATTTGGAATAGTCCGAATGTTGAAGGCCAGCTGAGGTTTGGTCTGTTTATTATTTCAGGAGGGGTGAATAAGGTTTGCACTAAAATGTGGACCGACCCAAATTTCACCCCCATCCTGAGGTGTCACAGACACACACCTGCTTTGTCATTCCTCTCGGTGGTTCTGCCAGGTGTGCAGCAACTGTGAAAAAGGCAGATTTCATGACAGAGATCATTAGGAAAGAGATTGAAGACTGCCAATAGCATAATGCCGTTTTGCAAATCTATGCTGCAACCATATTTGGAGTCCTGCGTACACTTCTGGTCGCCTCACCTCACAAAGTTGCTTTGGGTTGCCCTGGGCAAGATAGAAGAAGAAGAAGAGTTTGGATCTGATATCCCGCCTTTCACTCCCTTTAAGGAGTCTCAAAGCGGCTAACATTCTCCTTTCCCTTCCTCCCCCACAACAAACACTCTGTGAGGTGAGTGAGGCTGAGAGACTTCAAAGAAGTGTGACTAGCCCAAGGTCACCCAGCAGCTGCATGTGGAGGAGCAGAGACGCGAACCCGGTTCACCAGATTACGAGACTACCGCTCTTAACCACTACACCACACTGGCTCTCGATAAGATAAAACTACAGTGGTACCTCGGGTTAAGTACTTAATTCGTTCTGGAGGTTCGTTCTTACCTGAAACTGTTCTTAACCTGAAGCACCACTTTAGCTAATGGGGCATCCTGCTGCTGCCGCACCGCCGGAGCCCGATTTCTGTTCTCATCCTGAAGCAAAGTTCTTAACCCGAGGTACTATTTCTGGGTTAGCGGAGTCTGTAACCTGAAGCATCTCTAACCTGAAGCGTCTGTAACCCGAGGTACCACTGTACTAGCAAACCGAATAAATGGGAAAGATTCAGAAAAGGGTCATCAGAAAGATCGAGGGGAATCCCCTGTGAGGGAAGCATGCAAGCGCCGAGGTCTTCCTAGTTTAGAGAAAAGACAAGAAAGAGTTGACACGATAGACGTTTATAAAATTATGCCTTGCATGGAGAAAGTGAACAGAGAAAAGGTTCTACCTCCTACCACAACTCTGAGATTCATGGAAATAATAATAATACTACTACTAATAATAATAATAATAATAATAATAATAATATTTTTATCCTGCCCATCTGGGCTGCTTCCAACAGAGTATTAAAAACACGATAAAACATCAAACATTAAAAACTTCCCCAAACAGAGTTGCCTTCAGATGTCTTCTAAAAGTCAAATAGTTGTTTAGTTCCTTGACATCTGGTGGGAGGGTGTTCCACAGGGCGGGCGCCACCACCGTGAAGGCCCTCTGCCTGGCTCCCTGTAACCTCACTTCTCACAGTGAGGGAACCACCAGAAGGCCCTCAGCGCTGGACCTCCGTATCCGGGCAGAACGATGGGGGTGGAGACGCTCCTTCAGGTCTACTGGGCCGAGGAGGAGAGGGCTGTTAATGGCCACTAGGGATGATGGCTCTGCTCTGCTTCCATAGTTGGAGGTCTTAATGCTTCCGAATACAAGTCGCTGGAAACCAAAGAAAGGGAGAAAGCTCTTGTGCTCAGGTCTTGCTTGAGGACCTCTGGTTGGCCATGGAGAGAACTGGAAAGGATGGACCACGGGCTTAATGTTCTTTCCAATTGACTGGGAGTTGTTTGATTCACACACCCATTTATGTACCGGCCAAGGCAAATGTAGGACATCCAGGATGAAGCCAAAAGTCAGGGAGGGGAATTAGAGGACACCTTGACCCTCCTCCCCACTGCCCCGTGCAGCAACAAAACTGCTAGTGCATTGGTAAACCAGGCATGGTCCAGTATGGTTTCAAATTGGATGAATGACTGTGAGTTGAGATTCCTGCATTGCAGGGGGTTGGACTAGATGACCCTTGACTCCTTTCCAGCTTTACAATTTTGTGATTCCATGAGCCCTTTCATCTTGATTTCCCTTTTATGGTCTCTCTCTCTCTCTTTCCAGGTACAATTAATGCAAGCCATCATGAACTACCTTGCTTCAAGCACCCTCCTGCCTGCCGTGAACGGTAAATATCAGTCTACTTGTTGCACCACGTGCTTCATTATAGCCTTGTTTCCCATTCACCATCCCAACAGAACCAGGCCTCTGATATGGACTCCCAGGACAGAGCAAAGACCCCTCCGGTTGCATCTTCAGCGAGGAGAGGAGACTGGCAGGTGGTTCCTGGGAGGGCATCTGGCTGTGCCGTTTTGAGAAAACGCCAGGCCTGCAACCCCATGGAAAGTTACTAGGGGAGGAATGTCCAGCGTCTCGTGTACAACATTGGGGAGCTCACAGAGCACTTCAGAGTGAGGGGACAACCAGGAGCAGCGGGGAAAACTGCAGGGCAAATGCACACTTCCCCTGTAGCAGGCAAGAGGCCAGTATGAGGGGCAGTGGTGGTGTAGTGGTTAGCGCACCTGGGAGAGACCAGGGTTCAGATCCCCACTGGGCCCCGAAACTCACTGGATGGTGACCTTGGGCCAGTCAGTCCCTTTTGGCTTAACCTACCCTGCAGGGTTGTTGAGGAGGTGAAATTAAGAGCAGAATAATCTTGAGTTCCTTGGAGAAAAAGATGCACAGAAATGCAATAAACAAATAAATAAGAGGCTGCGCAAATGGGGCACCTCCACTACTGAGTGGAGGCCAGGTTTCTTTTCCATAGTTTAAAGCAAGTTTCTAGTTTTTATGGCTGCACACCTGAATAAGTTCAGATGGCAGAGCAGGACTCTCATAGAGCTGAGTAGCTGCTGGCAGCTCCTCAGGTCTGGCGGGGGGTGTGTGTGCGAAATCTCTTATATATCGTTTTGCAATTTGCAGAACATTTTTAGACTCTCTTCATAATTGGGAGGGATTCATATAGCTCTGGTGTGGGAAAGCACATAATACAAATCCAAAATGGAGGCTGTGTTCACTCAATGTGCCACATCTGCTTGGCGGTTGAACAGACTCCCTTGGAAGGTGCGGGACTGTCATTCGTTGGAGGTGTTTAAGCAGAGGTTGGGTGGCCATCTGCCACGGACGCTTTAGTTGCATTGCAGGGGGTTGGACTAGATGACCCTTGGGTCCCTTCCAACTCTACAATTCTGTGATTTTATGACCTCGGTTAATTTTATCTCCCTTTTTAAAAAAAATAGTTTTTATTGATTTTTACAATTTTATATTCAACACAATCATTATTATCACAAAGAAAAACTATAAATCCTAATACCCACCCCTCCCCCTCCCATGACTTCCCTCAACTTCCTCTTCTGGTTCTTTAAATATTTGCTTCTCCTGCCCATCTTATTCTACCTTAATTTCGCAATATTTTAATTAAATATTGTTGTATTCTTTTTGTACCATTTCCCCCCCAAATTACATCTTTCCCTTTATTCATTCCCCATTATTACATCTTAACTTTTATACTTGTTTCCTTAAATTGTAAATGTTTAATCAAACCCTGCCAGTGCGTCTACTTCTTTACAATATTTTTGTTAAGTGCAAGATAAATTTTACCTTCCAGCACGACTGGCTGAAGGCTTCCCCCTCCCTCTCCCGCACCACGTGGAGCTCTCCAGTGCCTTTCTGCAGCTTCGCCAGGTGGGTGATGCATTAGCCCTGTCGCAAAAGAAGCTCTGGGTACTCAGGGAAGCTTCCTGCATTTTGAGGCTTAAAACGAATTGTGGGGAAAGCTCCCTGAGGGAGCAGGTGAAGCCCACATGGAGGCAGCCCTCACTTGGCCCAGCAGGCATCCCATAATACCCCTTCCACATTTGCAAGAAGTCAGTTATTTCACTTTGGAATTCCCTGCCTCTTGACACCAGGCATGCTCCGTTACTTTGCTCTTTCTTGCGCCTGCTTAAAACATTCTTACTCAGACAAGGCTCTCCAGATGTTTAAGAAATCCGAGGTGAGCTCAGATCTGTTTTTAGTCTATTGTTCTTTTAACTTTTCAAAACTCTTGAATCGTGGTTGTGAATTTTTCTCAGCGATAATTTTATTGCTTTATCTTATTTTGCAAACTGCTTTGAAGGTTGTTGTTGTTGTTTTACACTCAAGCAGTGTATAAATTTTTAGGAAATATTAAATAAAACAAACAGCCCTGCTTGCAGAGCACACGTCCCAGGAGGTAGGCATCCTGCACCCTTTGTGTCTGGATGCCAGGATTTTGTTGTCCTGCTGCTGGCCAGAGGAAGACTCAGCTGCAAGGGCCATAGCTCAAGGGGTAGGGTGTCTGTCTCGCAAGTGGAAGGTTGCAGGTTCAATCCTCGCTGGCGTCTCCAGGCGGTTCTGGGAGAGACTCCTGCCTGAAATCATGGAGAGCCATTGCTGGAGAGACACTGCTAAGCTAGAGGCAGGCAGGCCAATTCTAGGTGGCCGAGCAGTCTTCCGACTCCTCAATATTTCTTTGAAAGGGTTCCAGCCCTCCCAAAATTGAGGCAGCCCAGAGCAACTTCGCAGGAGGCTTCACCGGTCTGCTTGGTGTCAGGAAAACGCGTGTGACGTCACACGATGTGCACATGACATCACACATGCCGCAGCCCCCGATCTTGGGGGCAATCCGGCGGCACTGGCTAGAGGGACCGATGGCCTGACTCTGTATAGGGCAGCTTCCTCTGTTCCTAATTCTGCCTTCTGATCTCTCCCCAGGATTTCTTGCTCTTTGGAGCAGACGTTCTCTACGGTTAATGGCGATGCAGAAAGAGGAGAGCCCAGACGCAATGCAGAATGTCGCGCCCTCTTCTGCTTCTTCTGCTTGGTCTTCCAGGCAGCGGGGGGGGGGGGTTCTTCCCCGGAAAAGGGCCCCTCCCTGTTTTTGGAATAATTTTCACACTGGTAAACCCTAATGACTGCTCAGATAAACAGCAGTTCATCAGGTATTTATGTTGATTTCCACTGAGATGGGACTATAGATGCAACTGAGATTAAATCCGGGTTCAGCAATGGATTCAGAAACGGTCATGGTGGACAATGGAGGTTGTTTTACACCAGTGTAGATCCTAGAGCCAGTAGGAGCATCAGAATGATGGCATTGGCAGAGATTAATTTTGGTAAACTGGTAGCCTGAGAAGTAACATTGCCTCACCCCAGAAATCCGTGTCCAGAAACTGTTCTCCTCAGATAGGGCACCGCTGAGAGTCCCACATGCCCCAGAGGCATGCTTTGCTTGCACTTGAAACTGGGCTTTTAGTGTTGCAGCCCCTGCCCTCTGGAACCATTATAAGGAGCGACTGGACAGGCTTCTGCCATCTTGATGTTTGAGCACTTATTAAATACTTTTTTGTTTAAGGAGGCTTCCCTAATCCTTTTGTATAATCTTAACTGCACAATTGTAGGTATGATCAAATTGGCTTTTAGAGTCTACATTTTCTCCTCTGTTTTGTTTCTACTTCATTTTCTCTTTTATTGTACACAGCTTCAATAACTCTACATTGTGAAGTGGTTCATAAATCCGTTGAATATAAATAAGTATGCAGAGGAAGCAAAAGGCGTATTAACGCCGAAAGAGGACTTTATTGCAGAAAACCTTCATGAAGGGGAAATAGCAATAGCTGACATTTTGGGTAGGAAGTCCTTGATGCATCACAAAGGAAGAAAGTGAGGGGGAGACAAGATAGTCAGACAAGCAGTGTATTTTGCTGGACACGATCCACAGGCTGATGCTTGGAATACAGGAGGAATGGGAGATGTAAACCCATCAAAGGAGCCCCGTGCTCAGTTCATCCATCAACAGAAGACACCAGAAGAATGTCAGAAGAGAAAGCTGGATTAGGCCAATGGCCCATTTAGTCCAGCATCCTGCTCCCACAGTGGCCAAGCAGTTGCCTGTGGGAAACCAGGGACCAGGATTGGAGCACAAGACCCCTCTTCCCTCCCCCTGTTTCCAGTGACTGTGGAGGCAGAGCATAGTCATCCTGGCTAGAAGCCATGCAGAGCCCTTGAAAGACAAGACTGGAAAGACACAAACCACTTGCAAGCTCTCTCACGCAAGCTTCCTTGAAATGAATGGGAGCTGTGCAAAGCCTGTTCAGGAATCCTTGTGTGGTTCCCGTCTGTTCCAAAGGGGCTTGCAAACACACAAACACAAGTCCCACACATGGGGTGCGCACATTGCCTTTTGCCACAACTCAGAAGTTTAAAGCAATTTTATTTCTTGCATGCTACTTGACTATAGGAATACTAGTCACTCCAAGGCTGGGAAAAGCATTTTCTGCCACCACCACCCCCCCCGGTGCATGGTTGGTGCAACAGAAGGAGATGGATCCAAAGTTAGAGGAAATAGTAAGACACAATTCCAGCCACTTGGTTTTTCATGCAGGGATCCAGAGGGCATCATTGCTTGGGGATGAGAGACATCAAAAGGTATTCCTAGGTTGAAGAAAAAGGAGTTCAAAACGTGCCTCCCAATTCCTGAACTGGGACCATTAAACTTTTCCTAATTCTGCTTTTTGACCTCTCCAAGCTGCTGCTGCCCCTCCGTCTCCCAAACCTAGTGCTAAGGGATTTCTCTGCAGCCTTCAGCACAGTTGATCCTCCTTGCTACCTTCACTCCTTTTCGCTGCCGAATTCCGTGACCTGACATTGGCTGGCTCTTTTCTGAGCTGCCAGATATCTTTTAGCCCCTTCACATGGGAAACGCTTCCTTGGTTTCCTTCGGAGTCCCTCATAAACGTGTCCCTTGCTCTTCTATCTCTGCCCATTGGCCACAGGCAACATCCCTGAACCCCATGTGGACTTGGGTGCCACATTTCCCATTCCTGACTCTGGGTCAGTCGCCCCTCCTTCAGGGAATGAGTGGGAGAGGGAGTTTGTCCAGTTGTCCGTATGAAACCAGGAGCTCTTGGGCAAGAGAAGCCCATTCTGCTAGCCCACCTCCAACCCCAGGGTGGCATGGAGCCCACCTCTTCCTCAGAGGGCTCAGCAGTCCTGGGGGAAGCAGAGGCTTCCCACTTCTCTGCAAACGACAACTCTTCAAGCCAACCAGGCTCCTTTCAGTGAAGACACTCATCTCCGCGCAGGTGGAGCCAACAGCTACAGCGGAACTGGAACTGCAGCTCCCAACTTAAGGCTCAGTCTGAGGATGGCTGCCTCTGAAACAACACCTGAGCCCTCTCTTACGGGGGTCTCCAGCCTGAGCTTGCCATTGCTTTTGACAGAGCACTACCTGTGTACCCCAGAACTCCCCCTCTCTCTCTCCAGTAGCTCATCTGCCTCACTCTGAGTAGCTGATATAAAGACATGTTCCTCCTCTAGGTATCCCTTTCCATACCTGCCAGTGCAGGCTTTTAGATTGTCCCCTGTGCTGAGTTTTAGATTGTAAGGTCCTTGGGGCACGATGCTATCCTCTGAAAAACTGGCTCCACTTTTGAGCTTTGCCCCCTACATCCCAGGACTACGTATTACTGCTTCTTTGATATATGTATTTTATACCCCACCTTTTCCCCTGAGAGGACTCAAGACAGCATACAGATAAAAATACGAACCACTAAAAACACAGAAAAAACATCATTAAATAACAATTAAACATTGATAAAATTGAAACGATGTTTATACATAAGAAATCTATTAAAAACATACAGATCACTGTCACAAAAACTGGACTGCACCCCCCTTTCATTAAAAGGAGTCAGTTCCCAACAGCCTTTTGGAACAAGAAAGGTTTCACCTGCCGGCAAAAGGAGAATAAGGAGGGAGCCAGGACGGCTTCTTCAGGGAGGCGTCTCCAGAGACGGAGCAGCCACCGAGAAGGCTCTGAGTAGCTCTAAACCTACATCCTGAAACATGGGAAACCCCAAAGGACCCACCTTTGTACAGCTGGTTTCCATTCTGACCCCATCACCCACGCCTGGAGCCAGCGGCAACAGGAACTCCTGCTCCAGATTGTCTGAAGAAAAGAAGCACAATCCGCATTTGGGCAAACAGAAGGTGACCTGTCCGGACTGGCATGTGACCATCTAGAAACTCTGCAGCAGGGACCTTGTGTTGCTCTGCCTGCCAACCCCTTCCTCTGTCTAATGTCATTTACTGTGCCTGCTGCTCCATAATTTCAGGTTTGTCCCTAATGAAATGACCCGTTGCATTGGGACTAACACCCATGGAAGCTGCCCTCCTAGAATTGGCTGATCTTGCAACTGCTCAGCTATATGCTATTGCTCAGACATACACTATGTGTCACACACACACACACACACACACACACACACAGAATTGACATGACTAATTCAGATCGCCATTATAGATTACTTGAACAAGTTCTGTTCATAATGAGTGCTACTTTTAACGTTAATACGTTTAGCATATTCAGAGGTGAGTCAAACTCCTTTTTCCATCATTTAGGTTTTTATCATTTGTCTGTGTGACTTCTATCTAGATATGCTTTTTAAAAATAGTGTTATTAGATGCTGCCAAAATTATTTTGCTTTAATGATAGTTAACTGTGTTGAATCAAAATTGCAATGCATGGGTTTGGGGCATATAATTTATCAAATATTTTCCTGAAGATGTCTAACCTTTCTAAATTATCTCCCTCAAATGAAAATTTTCTGAGCGCATATTTGAAGTGGTAGGTTAACTGTCCCTTTAACATGGCAGTTATAGAATGAACTTGGCTGAAAAAATTAGCTATTGGACTCAGTTTCTGCTACACAGAAATTAGACAATTAGATTTGTTCTTTGAACAGAGCAAAATCGTCACAACCCTAACAGATGTGGGACTGTCCCTAACACAACTGTACCCACTAACTGTCAAAGTTCCTCTGAAGCAAGTGCCGCCCCCCTCACAAAACTGGACAAATTCTTACCCAACAATGCAACAGGATCCTCAAATTCCAGTAGGGTTTCCAGCATGCCAACTACGTTGGATAGGTCCTGTTTTGGGATGAAGAAATGTCATTACCAGAGTCCAAGAAACAGCCCAGAAGCAAAAGCACCTGGAGCGAGGACCCTGCAGCAATGCAATCAGGGTGGTTTGCCTGGGAAGTCAGCACAAAGACTGAACTGAGGTGGATTGTCTAATGGTTGCTTATTTCACATGCCCAGAAATTTAAGTGGGGCTACTGTGCAAACCCCACTGACTGGCGCTGTAGCATTCCAAGAAGATTGTGGAGAATTATTTCAGGTGGGTCGTGCCCCACAGATCAGAAGCCTCTGTCTCCTACTCCAGGGAAGTTCCACGGAATGAGGGGAATGCAGGGGGTCCTTCAAGGAATCCGCTGGAGGGGAGCGTGCTCTGCTGCTTGAATCCTGCTTGGGGTTTCCCACAGGGATCTGCTTGGCCACTGTGAGAGCAGGACTCCAAGGCAAACTCTCTTGAATTATTGCATTAGCTTCATTTGCTGCTGCACCGCACTCCTGGCTCATGTTAGGCTTGTGGTCTACTCACAACCCAAGTATGCAAGCTTTCACACACTCCTCCTGTTGCCCCTGGTGGGGGGGGGCAGGAATGGCAAAATGCAAAGGGAGGGCAGGGGTGGTTGGGGGTGAGCTGTAAGGGGAAGGGGTTTGGGGGGTAAGGTGCAAAGAGAGAGGGGTTGCAAGCAGGTGGAGGCGGGATATGTGGGGGTGGCAAGCAATGCAAGCAGGGATGCAGCCTCTAGTATGATCACATAAATTGAAACATAAGGAAGAACTTACACCCCTCATATGTGTTTGAAGAAATCCACTGAAAATAAAGAAACCACATGTTAGGCTCGGCCTACCATAAGGTTCCGGTGAACAACATCCGCCAGGAGCCCCCAAGAAGCTGTTTGCAGTGATATCAAGCTGAGATCCCAAGGCCTTACGTAGTCCCTAAGGTGACTTGGAGCTAAGTTGTTCAGGGCTTTGTAAGTTAATACAAGGACCTTGAACCTGGCTCAGTAGTAGATGGGCAGCCAGTCAGTGGCGGAGGAAGAGGAGTGCGGAGGAAGAGGAGTGGGGGGGGAGCGCACCGCCCCTGGCAGCACGATCCCGGTGGGGTGTCACGCCCCCAGGATGTGCGCCAGCCCTGCCCCCACCTGCTCTTTGCCCCCCGGTGCCGGAGCATGAAGCTCCGCCACTGCAGCCAGCGCAGATGTTTTAACAGTGGCACCACATGTTGTTGCTCAGATGCCCCCACCAGCAATCTGGCCACAGCATTCTGCACCCTCCCAAGTCTACATTTCCTTGATTCTATGGTTCTGTAGTCAACTGCCTAGCCCTGTTCAGGAACCAAGTTTTAGATCCACACCAACTGTTGCCCTGCAGATTGTGCTGTATCTTACTTGTGAGCCATGTCTTTAGCTGCATTTACACTTTACAGCAGATGACGAATAGAAAGAAAATATGAAACATAACATTAGACTATCTACTTAGGAAAAATGATGCATTGGCACTGCTAGCACCATCCTGCTTGTGTGAGCAAAGCATGTGACAGCAAGGCAAGCGGTCTGGTCTTACCTTTCTAGAGACAATGAGACCTTCAGCTTGTTGTCTGCAATCGAAGTATCAGCTGGTGCATAGTAAGTCTGCCATGAAAGGAAGCAAAAGAGGAGCCGTTCAGCAGACAGAGATGGTGCTGATGGGCACCATCCCCTGGGAAGTTCTCCTGCACAAGGCTCTGCAGAGAGAGCTGGGCCAAAACTTACTTCATCTAGTCTCCAGACGGAGATCCCCTCAGCATTAAACGTCTCCAGCTTCAATAGATGAATCACATAAAGTCTGCCAAAGTCGCTATAGAATCGAGGTGGTTCATGAGCAGTTAAGTTCATCACATAGTTTTCTAACTCCTGCACAGATTTGGTTTAAATACAGGAATAAGGGCACAAATGATGAGTGTGTATATAATAATTTAAAATGCAAAGGATAGGAAACAACCTCCCCAAAACATCCAGGATGATGTTGGCACAGCCTGAAATAATTCAGAAATGCCTTCCTCGTATATCTGGGCACCTGTGTTTCCACTGGGAAATAACAGAGCAGTTCCAACCATGTCCTCTGTGTAGAGGCAACGCTCTGCTTTGCGAAGGCAAACCTTGCACCAGACGTGCAACAATATGTCAAGGAGCGTTGAGCCTGCTTTCCCTGACCTTTTTTTTTTTTTAAATGATATTTATTAAAGTTTCATAGAATACAAAAACAAAAAATAAAAATACAAGAAAAAACAAAATACAGAAAAAAGAATAAAATTTTTAAAATATAACAAAAAAAAAGAGAAATAAAGAAAGACATACAAGATAAAAACAGTTAAAAACACGTTAACTTTCCATAGCATATCTTCCTTATCCTTATTTCCCCGGACCTCCTCATACCTCCCTTTTTTGTATTCCAGTTCAGTTTGTTAGTTCAGCAAATCCTTACCATTAAGCTTTTACCCATTTGTAAACCTTTTTTCGTATCTCTTAAATGCTTTCCCTGACCTTTTGCCTTCCTGGCTAGAAAACAGGGTTTCCCCCCTGACCTTTTGTCCTTTCACAATTTGTTTGCTAGACATATCGCTTGGCTGGAGCATGACGGGGGACACAGATGTAATCAAGTATCGGGGGGAACATTTGAGGGAAACACCTGCTGACACGTGTATTTGCTAACGCTGGAAATGTGCTTAGATGGAAATACGTTAAGTTCAGGGTGGTTTCACGACTGTTTCCAATTGTTGACTTCTGCTAATAAAAGGAGCCTCTGCAGAACTAGCCGGCAGCTTGCTTGGAGCATACTTGCTAGCTTGTTTCTGCACAGCTCACCTGCATTACCAAGACCTGTCTCATGTCCATCACTTCACTCTGAGTAGGAAATCCCCTTGAATAAAACAGGATGTAACAACTCCAGATAAGGTACAAGGAGGGTTTTGAAAGGTACCATGAAAATGGGCTGAGTAAAGGTGCATTTCAAGGTCTGTAGTTGGATGAAGAGATGGTGAGGTCCTGAAAGAGCAGAAGCTAATTGGGTGAGAGGATGAGCAGCTAAGATGATGTACATTTCCCACACAGCAGGGGTGTCGAATAAAATATGGGGGGGGCAGGTAAGCCCCAGGGACCCGGGTGGCGCTGTGGGTAAAAGCCTCAGCGCCTAGGACTTGCCGATTGCATGGTCGGCGGTTCGAATCCCCGCGGTGGGGTGCGCTCCCGTCGCTCGGTTCCAGCGCCTGCCAACCTAGCAGTTCGAAAGCACCCCCGGGTGCAAGTAGATAAATAGGGACCGCTTACTAGCGGGAAGGTAAACGGTGTTCCGTGTGCTGCGCTGGCTCACCAGATGCAGCTTGTCACGCTGACCACGTGACCCGGAAGTGTCTCCGGACAGCGCTGGCCCCCGGCCTCTTGAGTGAGATGGGCGCACAACCCTAGAGTCTGTCAAGACTGGCCCGTATGGGCAGGGGTACCTTTACCTTTACCTAGGTAAGCCCCACCCCACATAATCCATCATATGGCACGGCACACACACACTATTTCAATGGGAATTCCCCCCCCCCAACTTTGAGGGGGTGGCCCTCAAATATTTTATCGGGGGGGAGAGGGACCTCAGCCCCTAGGACTTGGCTCCTATGCCACACCGTGTGTGTTCTACTGGAGATGCTCTCACAGGCCCTTTGGACTCTGTCCTGTAATGCATTGCTGAATAAAGTCTGTCTGGCTGGGAGTTTGGTGTGAGCCTCTATCCTTCAACTCCCAAGGGGGAATTTATTCCATGCTGATTCTGAGTAGACGTACTTACTATTATGCAAGTAAGACCAGGCAAGAGGGAAAGGAGGGTTCAGAAGCCGAGCAGATAAAAAGCCACTCACCTCATCAGAAACTTGCCCTGGAAGCAGAGGCTGAACACTTTCCAACATGCAAAAGCCCTGGGAGGTATATGAAATGACAAGTAATTATTATTATGATGTTCATTATTATATTTAATTATACAGTGGTACCTCAGGTTAAAGGGACGCGGGTGGCGCTGTGGGTTAAACCACAGAGCCTAGGACTTGCTGATCAGAAGGTTGGCAGTTCGAATCCCCACGACGGGGTGAGCTCCCGTTGCTCGGTCCCTGCTCCTGCCAACCTAGCAGTTTGAAAGCACGTCAAAGTGCAAGTAGATAAATAGGTACCGCTCTGGCGGGAAGGTAAACGGCGTTTCCATGCGCTGCTCTGGTTCGCCAGAAGCGGCTTAGTCATGCTGGCCACATGACCCGGAAGCTGTACGCCGGCTCCCTTGGTTAATAAAGCAAGATGAGCATCGCAACCCCAGAGTCGGTCACGACTGGACCTAATGGTCAGGGGTCCCTTTACCTTTACTTTACCTCAGGTTAAGAACTTAATTCGTTCTGGAGGTCCGTTCTTAACCTGAAACTGTTCCACTGTATCCCGCTTTCTTCCCAGGCAAGGACTCAAAGTGGCTAACAGATAAAATAGAACCAACTAAAAACAGAGAAAAAACACTAATCCTTAAAAAGCAATTAAACACTGATTAGTATTATATATGTGTCTGCCTGTGTGATCTATTAAAACCTACAGATAATTGCAATAAAAACATCACAGCACCCGTTCTTTCCTTCAAGAAGAAGAAGAAGAAGAGTTTGGATTTGATATCCCGCCTTTCACTCCCCTTCAGGAGTCTCAAAGCGGCTAACATTCTCCTTTCCCTTCCTCCCCCACAACAAACACTCTGTGAGGTGAGTGGGGCTGAGAGACTTCAAAGAAGTGTGACTGGCCCAAGGTCACCCAGCAGCTGCATGTGGAGGAGCGGAGACGCGAACCCGGTTCCCCAGATTACGAGACTACCGCTCTTAACCACTACACCACACTGGCTCACAAAACAGTTAGTTCCCAAAGGCTAATGGGAGGACAGCAAGGAGGGAGCCAGTCTGGCTTCTCTCGGGAGGGAGCAGCCAGGCAATGGAAAATCCCAACGGATGGCATTGGACCAGCATCTCTTCACCCTTCCTCTCTCTGTCCCTGCCCTCCACACAGCTAGTCTCCATTTGCCAGAGCCACAGTCTGGCCTTGAGTCACAGCTCCTTGGGGCTCCAAATCACATGTGCAGCTTGATGTGACTCAACATGTGACCTCATATGCCAACTAGCACTCCATGCCTGCCACCGGGCACTGCCAACATGACATGAGAGAGGGCATAGGTCTAGGGTACAGGTGAAGCACCCCCTGCACAGTTTCCACTTTGGCCCCACTCACCATTTTGTGGTTCTTATCCAGAATGATGGGCTTTATAGGTTGTAGGAGTTGGGCAAAGTTCCAGCCCAGCTGCTTCATCGCCATGGCAATGTCTGTGACAGCTTCCTTGTGCATTTTAGGAAGAGAGTCCAAGAGGCTGTCAAGCCTTTCTTTTGCTCCACCGCCTGCCTCTTCTGCTCTGCCGTCCGGCTTTCCTTCTTCTTCCAAGACCTGGCAGCAGCACCAAAAGAAGTACATAGTTGAACTATGGAACTCACTCCTACAGGACGCAGTGGGAGCCACCAATCTAGAAGACTTTAGAAGAGGACTGGACAAAATTCACAGAGGAGAGGGCCGTGAATGGCTATTAGCCACGATGGCTATGCCCTGCCTGCACAGCTGAAGGCAAGCAATAATTCTGAATCCCAGTGGCAGGAAAACACAGGAGGGGAGAAGGGGCTTATGTGCTTGAATCCTGCTTGCTGGTTTCCCATTGGGGCGTCTGGTCAGCCACTTCGCTGTATAATCTGTTCAGCTCAACAGCTGGGCAGCCGCATTCTGCAGGAACTGAAGCTTCCCAAATCATTTTCAAAGGCTGCTGCATGTATGAAGTTTCTGAATGGTTTCCAAAGGACACACACATACAGCGCATTGCCACACGCCAATCTTTTTTTTTTTTAAAAAAATAATTTTTATTAAAATTTCAATAAAAGTTAAACAGAAGAACATAAAAGTAGAAATACAAAAACACACAATACATAATCCAAGAAGAAAAAGAAAACACAGAAAACAGAATACAAAACAAGAACTAAAAAGAAACAGAACAATTAAAAACAATATCACTTTTCCATTTCCGTTTTTGAATTTACTTATTTTCTGGACTTCCTCATACCTCCCTCTTTTGTATTCCAGTCCAAATTGTTTGTCCAGCAATTTCTTTTCCACTTTTTTAATCCCAATCTTTAAACTTAATATAATATATAACTCTTAAACTTCTTTAATCCTAATTTTTAATCTTAATGTAATATAACATTAAATTTTTACCTCTTAAATACCAAATTTCCATTTCCTTAAACATCTTTAATCCTAATCTTTAATCTTAGTCTATCAATAACTTTAACCTGTACAGCTGGAAGCCACTTATTTTCGATCCAACATCATTCTAACATTCTTTAATTTTACAATGTTTCTGCCACACGCCAATCTTGAGGTTACCAGAGCATAGATTACTGTAGCCAAGTTATTCCTGTCCAGATAGGGTCATAGTTGAGCCACCACCATGGCCGCGGAGTGCCATTGCAAGTCCCTAACTACTTTTTGGGTTGAGATGGTGTTCCTCCTGATTGGGAACAAAAACTTTTGAAGCCTGATGAATAGTTAGCAGGGCAGAGAGTCTAGCAAGCCCTTGGCCCCTGAATCCCTTTTCAGAGAAGCAGGAGTGCATGGCGCTGGTTGGTACTTACACGCAGCTCGAGGATGAGAGTGTCATTTCTCAGAAGGAAGCTCTCGAGAAAGTACTGGATCCCAAGAGGTGACAAGTCAACTGCAGGGAAGCCAAGAATTTATATATTTATTTATTGCATCTGTATCCCACGTTTTCGCCAAAGAACTCAAGGTGTCATCCGTGACTCTTCCTCTCCTCATTTAATCCCCACAACACTGTGAGGTTGGTTAATCTGAGAGGCAGTGCCTGGCCCTCAAGGTCACTCAGTGAGAGCTTTGTGGCCGAGTTGGGATCTGAACCCTGGTCTCCCAGTTCCTCCTCTGACACTCTACCCACTACACCACACTGCCTCTCAAGTGAGGAGACTCATTCAGTGTTGGTACTCTTTAACTAAGGAGCAAATCTCTTTATCCCATGGCCTCAGAGCTCCTGGAGTATGCATTACCCGCACCAACCTCCCCTGTCTTTTAGGAAATCTTCCCAATTGCCCATTCTATTGAAAGAATCCTTGCTATGGACTTCCCCATTCATTTCAATGGGGAGACTCTTTCCTCCCATGCAACGGCATGCACACAAAGATCAGCGCCTTCGGCTGAATGAGTGGGGAAGTCCACAGGACCAGTTACAGCATCAAAGGAACAGTATCGGAATTTTGAAGTTTTGCAATTCTGGTCTTCAAACATCATGTCTAATAAAAGCAGGGAGATATTTTGAAGGCACCGTTTCTCTCCCAAACCTAATGGCATCCATAGTCATTTAGCTCAAATTTGGGGAATGTGCATATTTCATTTACTCCCCCTCTGTGTGTTTAAAATATCAACCAAACCAGCATCAGAGGAATCTGCTTCAAGTAGCTTCTCCCTGATTTGCCTTAGCATTTCTTAAAGGAATGTGCAAAAGAAGGAAGCTGCTTACATAGACTCTGGCTCAGAAGGCAACCTCCAGGCCTGGACAGGGCAGACTGCAAGAGGCCACAGCTCTGAAATATAAAACATGAAAAGCAAAGTGAGAGTGGAAAACACAAGTCTGGAAACCAAGCCTTACGAGGAACAGCTGGGGGAGTTGGGTCTGTTTAGCCTGGAGAAGACTGAGAGGGGATATAGCAGACAAGCTTGCTTTCTCATGCTCTGGCGGGAAGGACTCAAACCAATGGTTGAGATTGCGGCTAAACATCAGGAAGAACTTTCTGATGGGAAGAGTTGTTCGACAGTGGAACGGACTCCCTTGGGAGGTGGTGGATTCAGAGGTTTTTAAGCAAAGGATGCATTGCAAGGGGGTTGGATTAGATGACCTTTGAGATTCCCCCCAACTCTACAATTCTATGAACACCAGTAGCACCAAGAACAGCATCAAAATCAATTCATTTAACATCAGCAGTCAGAGCCCTATGTACATTTCAACCTCAACTCCAGCAGGATAAGACCAACCTTTTCATCCAAAACAGGGATCAGTCTTTCCCCCAGAGCAATCTGTACCATTGGTGTGACACCCTCTATTGAAGTGCTGGAAGATCTGATGAGTGATAAAATGGGAAAGAGATGCGAAAAGCTTGCAGAAGTTAGAACAGCTGCCTGCAATTTAAATGAAAAGGTGCATCCTAGCAGTGCCTGTTAGGGCGTCGTCCTACTCTCGAGTAGGACCCTGGCAGAGACACATGCTCGACTGGCATGTTCCCTCCCTCCTGGTCAATCGTTCGGGAGCTTCAAAAGCTTTCTTCTGCCCGGAATTTTATGAAGAAGAATCTCCAGGGTATGGGGGTAGGCCAAGGTTTTGAGAATGGTATAAGTGCAATTTATTCAGAACAAAAGGCTAAATTAATTGTAAATAACGTTGTGACGGAAGAACTTAAAATTGAAAAAGGGACACGACAAGGTTGCCCAATTTCCCCTCTTCTCTTTATTTCGGTCCTGGAGGTGTTGCTGAACATGATTAGAAGGGACCAGTTGGTTAAAGGTATACAGGTCGGAACTAAACACTATAAATTGAGAGCATTTGCAGATGACTTAGTACTGACGTTACAGGAGCCAGAATCTAGTACAAAAAGGGTTTTAGAACTGATTCAAGAATTTGGTCAAGTGGCAGGATTTAAATTGAACAAATCAAAAACCAAGGTTTTAGAGAAAAATTTAACACCTTTTGAAAGAGAGAGGTTTCAGAATGAGACAGGGTTAACAGTGGTTAAGAAAGTTAAATACTTGGGGATTAACATGACAGCAAAAATGGGAATTTATTTAAAGATAACTATGAAAAATGTTGGTCAGAAGTGAAAAAGATTTAGAAATTTGGTCAAATCTGAAGCTTTCACTGCTAGGCCAGTATTGCTGCGATAAAAATGAATGTATTGCCTAGAATGTTGTTTTTGTTTCAAACTTTGCAGATTGTGGACAAAATGGACTGTTTCAAGAGGTGGCAGAAAGATATTTCTAAATTTGTCTGGCAGGGCAAGAAACCTAGAATAAAATTTAAAATTCTAACAGATGCAAAGGAAAGAGGTGGATTTGCCCTGCCAGACCTCAAACTTTATTATGAATCAGCAGCTTTTGCTGGTTGAAAGAATGGCTACTTCTTGAAAACACTGACATTTTGGATTTGGAAGGTTTTAATAATGTATTTGGATGGCATGCATATTTATGGTATGATAAGGTCAAAGCACACAAAGCATTTAAAAACCATATTGTCAGGAAAGCGCTATTTAATGTTTGGATAAGATATAAGGATTTGCTAGAAAACAAAACTCCAAGGTGGCTGTCACCAATGGAAGCGAAAGCCTTGAAAAGGGTCAATATGGAGGTCAAATGGCCGAAATATTGGGAAATTTTGGAACAAGACGGAGATAGACTGAAATTGCAGAGTTTTGAAAAATTAAAAAACAAAGTGTGAGTCTGGCTTCATTATTATCAAATAATGGAGGCATTTAAATTAGACAGGAAAATTGGCTTCCAGGTGGAAAAATCAAAATTAGAAACAGAATTGTTAGAACCCAATACTAAGAATCTGTCAAGAATGTATAACTTGCTGCTGAAATGGAATACTCAAGATGAAACGGTAAAATCGGCTATGATTAAATGGGCACAGGACGTAGGACACAACATTATGTTTGCTGACTGGGAACAGTTATGGACCACTGGTATGAAATTTACGGCATGTAATGCCTTAAGAGAGAATATTATGAAAATGATATACAGGTGGTACATAACCCCAGTCAAGCTTACGAAAATCTATCACTTGCCCGATAACAAATGTTGGAAATGTAAAGAAACTGAAGGTACATTTTTTACCTTTGGTGGACGTGCCCAAAGATTAAGGTTTTCTGGGAAATGATATATAATGAATTAAAAAAGGTATTTAAATATACCTTCCCCAAGAAACCAGAGGCCTTTCTCCTGGGCATAGTGGGCCAAATGGTGTTAAAAAGGATAGAACTTTCTTTATGTATGCAACAACAGCAGCAAGAATACTCATCGCAAAGTATTGGAAGACACAAGAACTTCCCACGCTGGAGGAATGGCAGATGAAACTTATGGACTATATGGAATTGGCGGAAATGACTGGCAGAATCCGTGACCAGGGAGGAAGAGTCGATGGAGGAAGATTGGAAGAAATTCAAAGACTATCTTCAGAAACACTGCAAAATTAAGGAATGTTAGAGTGATGTTGGATTGAAAATAAGTGGTTTCCAGCTGTACAGGTTAAAGCTAAGGATAGATTAAGATTAAAGATTAAGATTAAAGATGTTTAAAGAATGTTTAAAGCATTGTGGCTAATCTACTTTATTTACACACAGATCACTGCAAAATGGTTCCCTCTCTCTCTAGCATCAGACAGCAAAGAGAAAGAACAAAGGACAATAGTCCCACTTCACGGAACACAGTAACACAAACATCCTGTCTCCGTCATTTCCCACTCTGTGGAGTCAAAACATACACCGTCATGTGAAAGACAACAATCCCATGACTGCAATCACGGAGCAGGAATTCTAACAGTGCCGTTCCAAGCCCTTGGAAGACAGTAAAAACAAACAAACCAGTGCATACAAACGCACACACTGCCGTATCATAACAAATATACCACAGCGATCAACAATATAGAAATGTAAAACTAGACAATGAAATCATAAAAAGTGAAAATCGAGTTAAAAGCATATAGAATAAGAGAACAAGAAGAACACACGTTTAAAGAAGATTGGAAGATGTTTATTGAATATATAAGAAATAATTGTGCACAGCTGAAATCACTGGCTTCATTAAGATAAATTCAACAGTGTGGATTAGTTTTGATGGATGCAATAACGGAATACTGATTGCTATAGTTTTTGTAAAATATGCAGGGATGTACAGTATATGTAAAATGAACCATGGAAAGAGAAGGAAAGCCACTGAAATCTTAGGGATGCAAAATGAGTATTTTAAATTGTAAAACAGAAAATAAAAAGCCTAGCAGAGACTGCATGCATTTTTACCTGGGAGTAAATCCAACTGACTTTATTGGGGCTTACGTCCAAGTAGACATGCTTGGGATTGGGCGCGGGGTGGAAAAGAAAGGCTTGCAAAATGAACTTTTACTTGTGGAAGCCACAGGGGATTGCAAAAAGTAAAAAGAAGAGGAACTCTAGGAAGCAGCTCCCTACTAAAAAAAAAAAAGCGCGCGCAGGGTGTGTGTGGAGCTTGAACCATGCATATTGCACGTGCATGTATTGAACTTAAGTTAGAAAGTACTGCCAGGTGCCCCGGACTCTGCAACTGAGCAGACAACAAATAATTTGGAAAGAGCCGCTCTGCTGCCCCAGCTGCAAGCATTTCTGTTTCGAGCCGTTTTGCAGCCCATCCAGGACCTTGAAGGGAGGGCGGATTATCCCTTGGATCCTTTCAAATCAATCCATCCCCATTCCTCCACCTGCCTCGCCTCTTCTTCCCGCTTTTGCAAACCTGGTTTGAATTCTGGCCAATCCGGCCCGGCCAAGGGGGCGGGGCTTGGGAGCGGACCTGGAGGGAGCGGGCTTCACTCTGGTCCGCCCCTTTGCCATAAAAGGCCACGTGCCCCGCTCCCGGGAACTGCAGAGCGGCTTGAAGAGCGGCAGAGAAGGTGAGTTGGGGTGCTTCTCCCCACGGCGTCCGTCCAGGTAATTTTTGCCTTCAGACTCGGATTATGCAGGGCTTTTGTGGGCGAGAGAGAGAGAGAGAGCGCGCGCTCACGTGGAGTTCATTTCCTTCTATTTCCCCCCAAATGCTTTTTATTGAGATTTAAGAACACCAACACTCTATCGAGCATAAAGTAGGATATATGTAATAAGATTTGATGTCTTTGTTCATTTCTTTCTATTTTAAGGCGAAACTGCTGAAAAGCTGGACTTTATTTCCAAGATGCATTTTATGGGGCAATAAATTAGCAACAACAAGAAAATAGCATTCTAATGCATAATGAATTATAATGAAAATTAATTAGCCTAAATTCATTTATGAATGTACCTATGGGCTGCTCTTAATCAATTTACAGAGCAAGCAATGGAAATAGAATTGATATATCTTTGAGCTGGGTGAGGGGGGATGTTTAAAGTTAGGAAGTCGTGGAGTGGGCTTGAGATGGCTGAGTGTAAAATAGGTGACTTTCCTTTAATTATATCATCTTAAAGGGCATAAAGGAAATTCTGGGACTGTATGATTAAAGAAAGTGAGTAAATTGGTTGTTAAAAGGCGGAACTTGCATGTGCAGGCATTGCCTATTTGAGGTTTGAGTTCTGACTTTGATTTATTTCGATTAAATGATCGTTAAAAGGTTTCCATCAGATCAGCCCAGACTGATCTGGTGACCTACTTTGGAGCAGGCGGGACAAGGTTTAAATGTCTTTGATTTTAAATGCGTTCAGTCTAGTCATCTCAAGGTCTGGTTTTGAGGCTTTTTCTCTTAAAAGGTTTTAGCCTTTGAGGCATCTGTCCACACCCTCCCTTCTCAATGGGTAAATTTACTCCTGAGTAAGCTTTCTTTTAAAATGTTGTTTTTCCTCTCATTTGACTAATCATTTCCAGGTGGTGGAATTTGTTACTTTAGGTTCCATGTGAAGTGATTAGTTGCACTTTTGCAAGGCTTCATTTAGTTGTGGACCAAGTATAAAGTTGTGACTCCTGTTAGCATCAGGTGCTTCCCCCCCCCTTCTCCGTTTTTAACCCTTAGTTACTCCTGCCGTGAATTTGGTGAATCAGCCTTTGAGGCATTTGTCTTCCAGTATAGGTTTAGGAAAAATGGCCCCTTCTTTCCATTCTTCTAAGTTGCCTCCCAAGAGAATTTCGGGTCAGGTATGTGTTATGGGCACTTCTTGGAGTATGGACAATGAGCAAAGTTGTGAAAGGAGTGAGATGCTTCTCTATCCAGCTTCTGTGAAGCCTGTAGTAAAGCTTATCGTTTTGGAGTGTGCCTGCTTGTATGTTGGGTGAGTGTGGGTCCATGTATATGTCTGTGGTGGCATAGACTTTGTTTGACTTGC